TTTATTTCATTATTTCAATATTTTTAAAATGGAAACTATAATCTTTATTAATTTCTCTAGTAATCTTACGTTTTATATATTATAATCTCTAATTAAATTATTATATTATATTTTTTATATTTATTTCAATATTTTTAAAATGGAAACTATAATCTTTATTAATTTCTCTAGTAATCTTACGTTTTATATATTATAATCTCCATTTTTTTAATTAAATTCTTTGAATGAGTTCTTTATTTAACTCAATCGTAAGATTGAATCCTGCTTCATAATAAATATATATATAGATATATTGATTATATCTATTTATCTATTGACTATATCTATGTGTCTATTTTGCATACTATGCACTAAGCTGATATCGATTTTGTTAATAGGGTAGCGAAGTCCTTCGCGCGAATGAAGACGTATCGAGAACGATGTAACGCAACTGCGTAAGGCAAAACAAGATCATAATCCAATTACCATCACTGGTAAAAAAAATTCTTCATATTTTGTGTATAATTGGAAATTATAATAGTTGTAAGCAAAATAACACATAGTAAAGTAAAAAAATATACTACAGAATATAAAGGAAAGAAACCATAACGAAAAAATATTTCAGATATAGTTAGTATAATTGAATAATTAAAGAAAGAATTGAGTTAAATAAACATAAAAGAGTCAATATACATTATGTTATTATAAATTAAGTAATTAAAATGTAACGAAGCAATTAAGGATACACAAATACAAGCTATCGTCACGCAATACGAACGTCTCTTTCGGGATCGATAAACGTACCGTTCTTTGAATTGATATTTATAAATTAAATATAAATTGAGTAGTAAATGTAAATTTTTCGCATATATCAGTTTGCAAATATTTGAGACGACATTCAAGCTTTTTGCTTTGAATAGCGCGTTCAAATGTCATTAATAAAATTTGTATTGCGTTTAAATGCTACGTAAAAAAGCTACAATTTAATCTAGTATAGTTTGTGTGTGTGCGGATAAAATTATATGTAATTAAAAAATAAAATTATATATAAATTTATATATAAATTTAATATATAATTTCCACATAAATAATAATAATAATATAAAATTTATCAAGCGAAAGATTATCATGTACACAAATTTCTTGACATTCTTAAAATCTATATGAAATGAAATCGTTAATAATGGCATTAAAGCAAATGGGTCAGATATTTGCGGCGCGAATCAAATTATCAGATGATGATCTGACGTTGCGATTACAGTCGCGTATTTGCTCATGTCATGTTTCGCAATCGGCAAGCAACGATCAAATTTTTTTCATCGGCGAACGATGTCAACACAAAAAGCGAAGCGCGAGTTTCGCAATTTTGCCTCGACGACGAAAAACTGCATTCCGATCATTTTCGAGAATCGGATCGCGCGAGAGTGATATCAACGATTAACAACGATAGAAAATTTCCCCTCGCGCACAATTATATCAGATAATTAATTTAATCAGTTCGATTGCGTTGCACACACACACTCACAGGAATATCAGTCGCGAGAAGGGAAGCTGGATCGCGGGAATGAATTACAATCGACGACGAGCAAGAACTGTCGAGCGAGAAATTAATTAATTGAGATTAGTTGAGAGTCTTTCGGTGCGCGTGATGGTACGTACCTGGTCGATTTAATGTCTCATCCGCGTGATACCCTCCGATAAATCCAGACTAATGTGCGGTTTTCTTTAATTAATTTTTTTTATTTTTTACTATGTCACAATATCGTTGACGACGGTTCTCCCGATATGGAATCCCGTCCTGTTCTTTTTCGACCAGGACCGACCGCCAATGGCGACGGCTTTTATATAGGGCGAGAGGGCGTAGGATCGATAGAAACGCGCATGGTACTTTGACAGCTATCGGCAGCAACAAGTAAAGGGGGCACAGACGGGGTGTGCCGTGTGCGGTATGAAGAGAAAAAATACGTCGACAGGAAAATTTTTTACGCTCTTTCGCTTCGCGAGCTTATTCAAACGAAATTTCCATGGCAGCAAGCGAATTAAATAAGTCTTTGGAAAACTTTATTTCTCAACTTAATCTCGACGAACGAAACGGTATCAAATATTCCGCTCGTACTTCTTTATTATCTTATCTCGGCGTAGGCGTATTAACTATCGATTTTGCTAGTTTGGAAAGCTTTACACGTAGAAATTTTCAAAATACAGTTTGCAATCAGTGATCATGCATTTGCTTTGCGAGAAATGTTTAGAGAAGCGAGGACTTCAGCAAAATATTTTGACGTTGAGTCTATCTCGGAAAATAGAAGGACATCAAAATTATAAAATCAATTGGCAATTGGAAATAAAAGAATCGATTTAAATGTAAATGTGGTCGTAAATCTATGACTTATCTATGACCACATTTGTATATCTATACACGAAAACAATATACATATTTATTTACGTAAATTAATATGTATATCGAAGGAAGAAATTAACATAGAAAACATTTTAACATTGCTCACTCTTTTCAATAGTTAATTATAAATAAAAAGATTGTAAAAAAGGTAATAAAAGATGTAACATTACTAAAAATAGGTTGGAGTTCAAAGTCGCAGATTACTCGATTACGAGGAAGAGACTTTGTCTTTTTTTTGTTTTTTCAGAACGTGCTTTTTAGATATCGATTCTGCATATTTGCAGATTTTAAATATGTACATTTACGTATTTAAATACGTACAACGATTTTAAATATGTGTATTTAGAACTTTTCTGCATGCGATATATATATATATATACATATACGTTCTTAACCGAGAGATAAGTATTCGCAAAAGCAAAATCTTATCGCATGAGATATCTATCTCAAGAGTAAAAACCCGACAATAATGGAAATATTTTGCTCACTGCGGAATTAATTGGAATGAAGGAAGAGCTTAAATCTAATGAATTAATTTATTCTACGTGCGAAGAATGAGAATTCCATTCAAAAGACGCATAAAAGATCAATGCAATGCGCATACTTTTTATTCGTGTAAATAATATGCAAATTATTTACATTTGTGAAGTACACACATTTTATTTATAATTACGAGATACGATTATACACATATAAAAATTATCAGTGGTTTATGAATATGTAACGATTAATACGTAGTTATAAGAATATTGTAGTTATATGAATATGCAATTATGTTAATACGCGCATTAAAGTATGTACAGAATGTCAGGTATGGACAGAAGATCCAATAGATCGATACAACCGACGAGAAAATGATTCTAAAAAATCGAAACAAATACAAAAAGCAAAAACTATCTTTTTAAAAAATATATTTCACTTTTATATTTAAGATTATTTTTCGTCAAAATTACACAACCATTTATCTTATACTTGTTATTAGTTCTTTATTTTCGCAAAAAATAATTCATTTTTTCGTCGGTTCTACCACAATTTATACTGAACACGCTGTATACGTGAATGCACATTTATATTTGTTTTTCAAATGAAAAATTATCTATTTTCTTGTAGAGGCAATGGAAATGTCTACATTCTTAGATATTAACAAATGTTTCTATAATTATACGCAAATAATTACTCGCAAATCAAGACTAAAATGAAAAGAGATAATGTTGCACAGATGTCGCAAGAAAATATTCTTAGAAAGAAAGTGAACTACAATTAATTAATTGCAAAATTATAAAATTAAACAATCATAGAAAGATGAGATTACAAATAATTGACTAAAAAAATAAGATATATAAAAATAAACGCGAAGACACATGTATATCTCGGTATCATACATATGGAAAAGGAGGAACAATCATTTTTCTGCGCGCTCGTCATTGCGATTTTTGGCCCTCGATTCGCGTCGGGTCAGCACTTTTGTTACGGACAAACGTACTATTATCGATATCTACGTGAGATATCGCTTATCCGTGTCAAAGATAAATACTTGATTTATCAGGGACGATAACAAGGTAGACGAAGAATTAAATCGCGAATCTAACAGTATTGGCTCGACGGTTAGCGTGAATTCGCATCGCCGGAATCGAATATAATTTAAATAAATCTCGGAAGTAAGAGGGAGATAACGATCGCGAATCTCGTCCTTCTTTCTGTTGGTCGACTGATTTTATTACGCGATCATGCGATACACGGAAGCGGAACCGATGATGGAGCAGAGTTACGCGCAACAGCTCAACGAGATGTCGACGAGCAGCGAACAATCACCGGCGACCGGTATCAGACAATGAGCGCGATATCGCGTTCTTATCACACAGGCACACAGACGTTATTCTTTTAGAAAACATATATTGTAAACGTTGCACTTCTTTTTTCCGGATCCCTTAGCGATGTCGAGCACGGGGACGCAGACGATAGAGATGCAGGAGAACGTTCCGATCGTTTATGCCAACAGCAACGTCATCACGATGCAACCGACAGGTGAATATATATATCTTCGCTGATAGTGAGATAACATCAAGTTATTAATGGCTAGTGATGTCAATCAAATATTTGTTCTTCTCTTTTCCTATGTATAAGTAGATAAAAGAATTACAGAAATTATTGTCTTATTTTACATTATTAGATGTTTCCATCGCAATCGATATTCGAACATATGTGTGTGTAAATGAAAATTCTTAATCTAAATTAAATTTATATTGTTATCATAATGGACGAAAGGAGCATCATTAATTTCAGCGTACGCTGAAACAATCGGTGTTTTTCTTTGATAAATACATTGCTCAAGAATTGATAAAGATATAGGAAGAATAATAGTTTAATTGAATTTCTTCTATATCGTAATCATGAGCTTTCGATGGATTAACGAGAGTCTCGTTACGTAAGGCGACGGAATCGATTTCTCGATTAATGGGAAATGCCCGCGTACTTAATAAAATTCCGAGCGGTCTTTTTATTTTATTCGCGCGCGTATCGTCACATCGCTCTTGCAGAAGGCGAACTTCGATTTCCGCGAAGGCCTATTCCCATCATCACCACTGACTGGATCTCGACACCCAGGGCACAATTTAATGCGACCTCCGGCACACAATTCTTGGCCGGCGTCGAACAGTTGGAAATTCAGCAGGTTATTGATTTGAGTACTCGTACGTATTTAACGCATGTCACGTACATCTCCAGCCTAAAAGAGAGAGAAAAAATATATATATAAATGAATACAAACTATATGTAAGATAGAGTAATTGTATACATAAATATGTATTAATTCGAATAAGAATGTATATACACAATTTACGCGAAATACTCGGTAGTACTCGGCAGAATGGAGAGGGGCACTCAGTACAGGGTGAAAGTACCACGGGCGGAAACGCTGTTTCTTGCCATGGAGTCCAAGACGGAAACGGAATCGCGGATGTGCGGCTGGTATAAGGGTTTCGTGCTGAATGTTCTGGATCAATGCGGCGAGACCGCGTTCGTTATGCGAAAGGATCCCAGTTGGATGCACGTACCAGGATCGCGGCAGGCAAGTTAATGCGACAGGCGTCGTATTAATAAATACCATTCCTTTATGATTATTCGCGCTCGCGCCTTCAAATCGATTATTAATTGTCAATGTATCACATAACTCAGAAATCTTGTAAAAAAATATATACATATATATATACATATATATATATATGTATATATATTTTGTATATATATATGATGAAAACTCTATTAAAATACATAGAGATATCCATTTAAACTGAGACGAATGAAAAGAGCAGGATTGATCATCGGTTGTTGGCTATGAGCAGAAATGAAAGATAAAATACGGATTGATCTTGTGCGATGCAAACGAGTTTCTATCCTTCTGTTTGATCATCTCGTGAATTTGTGCAGAAAATCACAGTGGAAAGCGCGAATCTCATCGGTAGCGTGGAGGAGAACTTTAGTTTGATGGGACCGAATTTTACGGTGTATGACGCGTTCAAGGAACCCCTCTGCAACATATATGGCCCCAATATCTGCGGCTGTTGCATGTATAAAGAAGCGCAGTTTCAGGTGAATGAATCATCCGTGTAATGAATGTATAAAGGTCGCTTTAACAATAACAAACAATCATTATCATGTATCACAAAACCGCGATACGAATGCGAAAACACGATTGAAATCGCGTGTACATTTGCTTCAGTATTTTTTTATTTATCACGCATTATCTTTCGTTTATCGGAAATATGATATTAATATTTACATGCAAAAAATATATCTATATAAATTTATATGTTTTTATTATAAGAATATTATATTAATATTTTTGTTTTACTTATATCTATTTATATGTGTATTTGTGCGTTTTTTTCCGTTGTAGATAATATCGTTAGATGGATCGCGCCAAGTCGCATCGCTGATACATCAATGGGACCACTTGTCGGTCGATTATATTCTATTGCTCACATTTCCAGTAGATACCGACGTGAAATTAAAAAGCCTGCTCCTTGGCGCATCATTCTTAATAGTAAGTCGATCGATTTTCTATTACACCGCGATAATCGCTTTCTGATTTTTCTCTTCAATTACATAAATAAATATGATTATATAAAAAATTATTTAGATATAAATATCGCAATTATATTGATTATTGTGATCGCCACACCACGTCTTATCTTCTTTCGTCTTGTTCCAGGAATACTTATATTTTCAACGAATAAGAAACGCATCCAGGAGATAAATCCCACAAAAAGGCCGAACATCTTAAAGATATCTCAAGGACGATAAGATATTTTTAAGTTGTTTTTTAAACGTCTTTTAGAGACGTAATATCTGGGATGATTTTAGTACAAAACAATATGCATTTCAAAGTTTTCGTCGCGTATCATGTTTTTTTTCTATATTAATGCAAGTACACATCTTCAGAGAAAAAAAATATAATTTTTATATATCCATCTTAACAGAGAAATTATCTTATAGAAACATTATATAAATAGTAAACGCGCATTGATCGGAGACTACCTAATTATTCAATGTTATAATTAGTTACATTGCACACATAATATATGTAATAAATACTCATCGCGACTATGTATACGAATGCAATGTTTACAAAAGATAAACGAAATAGGAATTAACAATAAGGAAATTTCGATCTTTAAAGTAAAATTTCGAATTCTTCCCTGAAAACAGCATCTGAACAGCATAATCTCTCTCTAAAACACATATCCCCTTTAGACATATTTAAATTTGTGTTATATTCATGTTCTTGTATGCACACAGAATAAAACTTGTATATTATTAGAAAAGGGGAAGAGTTTATAGAGAATATTATATATTTGTATATAATAAAATATATAATAATTTCACAAGGAACCCACGGGCTGGGAAATGAAGTTCGGGATGAGGCTTCGTGTGGTAATATCTTGTGCGATGCAAACGAGTTTCTATCCTTCTGTTTGATCATCTCGTGAATTTGTGCAGAAAATCACAGTGGAAAGCGCAAATCTCATCGGTAGCGTGGAGGAGAACTTTAGTTTGATGGGACCGAATTTTACGGTGTATGACGCGTTCAAGGAACCCCTCTGCAACATATATGGCCCCAATATCTGCGGCTGTTGCATGTATAAAGAAGCGCAGTTTCAGGTGAATGAATCATCCGTGTAATGAATGTATAAAGGTCGCGTTAACAATAACAAACAATCATTATCATGTATCATAAAACCGCGATACGAATGCGAAAACACGATTGAAATTGCGTGTACATTTGCTTCAGTATTTTTTTATTTATCACGCATTATCTTTCGTTTATCGGAAATATGATATTAATATTTACATGCAAAAAATATATCTATATAAATTTATATGTTTTTATTATAAGAATACCCCTTTAGACATATTTAAATTTGTGTTATATTCATGTTCTTGTATGCACACAGAATAAAACTTGTATATTATTAGAAAAGGGGAAGAGTTTATAGAGAATATTATATATTTGTATATAATAAAATATATAATAATTTCACAAGGAACCCACGGGCTGGGAAATGAAGTTCGGGATGAGGCTTCGTGTGGTAATAGTAGTGCCCGAAACTCATACCATGCTCAAGTCATAGGACCCCATAGGCGGCCAGTTCCAAGAAAAAGCGCCTCAAACTTTGTGTAGCAATTTATATACCTAAAAGTTTTCTCCATTGCCAAGCGGTCCGGTGGCCGAAGCGGTAGCAGGCCGGCGTAGGAAGTCAGAGATTCCGTGTTCGAACCTCTGCTCGTGAACTTTTTTTTTTCATAAATTTTTTTTATGCATTTTATTTTCAAATTTGTTTAATATTATAATAATAATCATGCAAATATTTATTATATTTAAAGCATATTTAAAGCAACATATTAAAAGAGAAACAAATTTTTCCTGTTTTAAATAATTTCGTAATAAAGTCACTCTTGGAAAATGCTTATTAACAATTTTTTGCTCAAATGGCTGAGAAATAAGCTGCGACATAAGCACCTTATTTTTTATTAGTTTTTTTATTAGTTTTATTAGTTTTAAATGTTACGACGTCGCACGTGATGATACAATTCGAAAAATTATATCATCATGTTTGCTTTAAGAGGGAGATCAACCTTCCATGTTCTAATTTATATCATATATTAAAATAAGAAAAAAAGGAAAGAACTTGGATCGGAGCAACGGAGAAAAAACTTAAGCGAATAAAAAATCGATCGATCGAAATTTGGACTCCGAGATATCATTCTTCCTTATATAAGGTGCCGTCTATAAGTTTCGCAAGTCTATGGCTTTAGTCAGCACATGTTTGGAATTCATTGGTGCTGGATGTAGCTGGTGGTGGTGCTCGATCCTCCCACATTAATCTCGTCGTGGCCTGTCGCGAAGTCGTCACGCGCATCGCGTCACCCACCGTGTGCGTGTCTCCTCTACCTATCTACAGTGAACTGGTTTTTCATGAATTGAGAAAAGTGAATGAAGATATATATATTAGAGAAGAAGAATACATATACAGGTAAATTTACAGGGAAAGAAAGCAAATATAAAAGATAGAATTTCGTGTCGACTACAGGAAGGACAAATAACATTTACGCATTTGTATGTCGTTGCATGTGAGATTTTTAATATAAATCAATGAGATAGCATTCTTCTTTCAAGATAGTGTCATTTGCTCGATTTGACATGTGACTTATTGTTAGGGTAAGGATAGGTAGTTCTGGATCATACTGGATCATCATAATAGAATAAAAATTAATTCCTTTGAATTTCCAAGAAAAAGATGTCAAATATATGACAAAATATTTAATCAGTATAATCAATCTTACATTAAAGTCGTAAAGAATACTTTATAGACGATTTTGTCCGGTTTGATTATTGTTTTATATTCTTTTACTTTTGCTTAAATAAAATATTTTGTGAAAGGTTCGCAATTACCCTAACAGCATATGTAGGTTCTGAGAATGTTCGGAGGATATCGCAAAAGTATATTGCGTACATTCTCAAAACATTTGATATACGTACTACGATATACTGAGTACATACTGAGAAAGTTCCTATGTCCCACTTATTATAGTTCGTAGAATATTCTGTGAATATCTTTCAGTATATTTTTAATATATCTTTAGTATATCTATAGAATATGTTACTCAGTATGTTATTGGTATATCTGTAGAACGTCGCCCAGTATATTAAATTTTTAGTTAACATGGATGTGTGGATAATATGTGGATATCCACTAGATATCCCAGCTGGTTATACGGGAGATATAGATATTTTTGATATCTAATAGATATCTATTGATTATCCATAGTAGATATGGACATTATATGGATATGTCGATATCCAGTAGATATCGATTAAATATGTAGCTCTGTGTGGGAAGATATATTATAAGTATATTCTGAGAATATACGAGAAATAATATACTGTAAGATATATTATAAGTATATTCTGGGAATATTCGAGAAATAATATATTACAATAAATGTTATAGGGATGTTTTCAGTATATTATATATAGTACGTATATTCACAGTATCAGTATAGAATATTCGAATGATATCATGTGCTGTTAGGGTAAACCCGAATATTAGTTATGGATCATTTTTTAAAGTGTTTATCGTTTTTTAGAAGCATTATTACATCCAGAAGATAATAGAAATAATTTGCGCTATAACATATTGCAATGTAAATAATATAATTATATGTAATGATCCATATCTAGTCTCAGCATCTAGTTGTATGTGCAAATCGAATATATAAATTCAGTATTATTTTAATACATTTATTATTTAAAAACGGAATAATTTATGGAACTAATAAAAGAAAAAGAAAAATAAAAGCGTATATTTTTTTTTAACAAATATGAATAATGCAAGATGTTCGTAAGAGACGTTTTAGATAAAATGTGACACTTGAATATTTCTATGGCACTGAAAATATTTATTTTAATGCTAGAAGTTAAAAAAATATTGTTCAATTTAATTTTCTATACATTTTAAATAACGTGTATGCCACAACAATGCGCTTGTTTCGCGGTTGTCATAATAATAGAGAGTATATGACCGCGAATACACAACTTACGTTAGCATAAAATTATTTTCTTTTCATCAAATTTAATATATATATTCTTATATATTCTTTATACTGTAAAAATCTTAAGATTATAATTTTTATATTACATTTTTAGTTTTCATTTTCGCGCGGAAAATTGGAAATGTGTAATTATAAATTTCGTTTAGCAATTTTATTTTTTGTTCAGGCAGGTAATCTTGACATGTATCATATGCCAGAAGTCAGAAGTCTTCTGGATTTGACTTATGTGCAAATATTCACCATAATTTATTACGATAGTATTTATTGCATAGAAAAATAGAAAGAATTAAATTTATAAAAGGAAAAAAAAGAAATATTACAAGATAATAAAATCCAAAACTAATAATTTTCTCTCAAAGATTATTAATCCCAGGACTTTTTAATAAATAATAAAAATCTCGATATTGATTGAGATGCACGTTGAAAAAATACGCAGCATTACTTAAATTAAAAGGAAAACAAAATTGCATTTTAAAATCTATATCTATATATAATAGTAACTTCAGTTTGTTTGTTCGCAGAGATAATTTTTCAAATCGCGATAATATGGCTTTTCTCGCAACTGTTGGTCTGCTAACTCTACTCTATTACCTCGCCTATCTCATTTTTCCCTCCATTTTGGATTGCGATCTATTGCTCGCTTTTAAGGAGATATTCGGCAAGCCCGTAGGTAAGTGCATTTATTCTTATACGGGTTTAAAAAGTGGCGAGAAACTTTTTTCTTCGAGTGCCGTAAATCAGATGAAATATATAAAGAACGCTCGTTTATATACGTGATCTATATAATTGGCGACAACAGAAAATTCGAAACATTTTTTTTTTTTCTCTTATATAATATTTTATATATAATTTATTAGATATATATTTTTAACAATTTTTTTATATAAAAATAAAATTCTGTCTCGTAAAATCTGTTATAACTTATGGATCGTCTAAAATAGAAGCTAAATGTATTGTATAAATGAATTTTTCTGTATCGATTTATTTCGTGTTGTTTCATATTTCACAGTTTCGTTGAAAGGCAAAGTCGTATGGATAACAGGTGCGTCCAGCGGTATCGGAGAGCAATTAGCCTACGTGCTGGCCAAAGCGGGCTGTAAATTAATCTTGTCCGCTCGGAGGATCGACGAGTTAGAAAAAGTGAAGAGGAAGTGTCTAGAAGGTAGACTGATTGACATTTTAACAAATCCACGATATTTCTTCATATAGTTTGAGATATTAAATCGCGTTATTGAGATATGCTGAGATTTTTATAAACGTTTCATTTCTTTTCAGAAAACGAACACTTGAGCGACGACGATGTGGAAGTGTACCCTTTGGACCTGCTCAATTTTGACTTGCACGAGAAAGCGTTCCTACACGTGATCGAGAAATTCGGCAAAGTATTTACGATTTTATGTTGATACACGCAAGTCGAAAAAGAACCTTACTGCAATATGCATCTGTATATTTCAGTTGGACATACTCGTTAATAATGCCGGTCGCAGTCAAAGGGCACAATGGGAGAATATTGAGATGACAGTCGACAAAGAGATGTTCGAGTTGAACGTATTTTCCATCGTATCCTTGAGTAGATTAGCGGTTAAGCATTTTCTACAGACAGGCGAGGGTCAAATCGTTATTAACTCGAGCGTCGCGGGATTTTTACCGGTAGCTAGGTCGGGGACCTATTGTGGCGCTAAACATGCGTTGCACGTAAATACTTTTAAACCATATACGATAATTTTATTGACCGAATGCAATAATTAATAACTTTGCGAAATCTTTTTGAAGTAGGCAGTAACATTAAATTATTCGCAGGGTTATTTTAAATCGTTGTTGCTGGACCACCATGATAAAGATATCGACGTGACGATCGTTTGTCCGGGTCCGGTGCAGACTAATTTTCTAGCCGAGAGTTTCACAGAGAAATCTGGCGAGGTATATGTCACATGAAACATTTATACAGATTTATACAGAGTGTACCCTCACAACTTTACTCATGTTTCTCTGAAAGTATTTTAATGAAACAATTCGACTCTTTCGAATTTCGTTGAACATTCTGTGTGTTAATTAATTACAATGTACACACACATTTAAACAATTTGCTGTAATCTATTATTTGTTTAGAAATACGGTATAAACACGGAAGTGGCCAAAAACAAAATTAGCGCGGAACGTTGCGCAACTTTAATGGGTGTAGCGATTGCGAATAAGCTGGACGAAGTGTGGATCGCCAAACCGATCACGTTACGATTGATTTATATATTTTATTGTTTCCCGAATTTTGGAAAATGGTATATATCTCTTTCACTTAATTCTTTTACTGCATGTAATTAAATTGATAATTGAAAAAATTCATTCGGTTTTTTTCTCACAACTTTTAAATCTTGTTCTTAGACTATCCAACATTCGCTAAACAAAACTTGACTTAAAATTTTATTGATAATTTTATGTGCCGTGTAATGTAAAGCATTTGAAGAAGCAGAATATGCAAATATACAGAATACATAGCATATAATTATAAACAAAATTCTACTGCAATTATAGATGATTTAAAGTGAGTTTACAGTAACAAAACTAGAAAAAGAAGAATAAAACCGAATGAATCTTTCGATCGGCTTTAATATAATTGCATTATTAAATTTTGTATTTTTACAAAGGTTGGTGAAGACCTTGGGCACAAGATATCTAATGAAATTACGGGATGCTAAGGTTCCCAGTAAGAACTAATCTTGTTACCATCATTACAATAGTCTAATGATAATTGGTGATTATTTTTATACTGTGTGTTTTGACAAAGTTTTTTTTTTACATGTGATATGAAATTATATATATATTAATATTATAAGGCTATAATAATTATATTAATATTAATAACAATAATTTTCTATATATGTATATATGTGATTTTATTAAATGCCTATTTCTTATGATACTACGTTATTCACAATAATATTCTTATTTTCAGGAAAGAAATGTATTTCGATCTGTTTTGTACATATGTAACATTATATTTGTTTAATATCGCAAATTAATTGCTAGATTTATGTCGAGTCTTTAAAATTCGTCATTGTTTCTCGAGCTTTCTTACCTCTTAGGATAGCTTCCTTGAATAATGAACAATAGAGTTCTATGGCGCATGGAGAATCGTCGTTTCCAGGAATGGGGTATGTTATAAGATTCGGATTGCAATTCGTGTCGACTACACCGACGCTGGGTATGGACATTTTCGCTGAATGTCTAACCGCTGGATGTTCAGCCAGGACAGTGTCAAGGGTACTGAGAAAGATACACAAATCAGGCAATCGCGTCATGGCGTTAAACTGATTCTTCGAATTAGGAAACAGTCCCAACCGCCAGTATCTCGTATGCGAAAACTCCTTGCACTCTATGGCGGTTTTGTCCACTATATATGTAGTCTGGGGATTTCGCGAAATGAACAGGATTATACCGCCTCTAAAGGCAACATGAGCGATAAAGTTTAATGCTTGTCTGAGTAATTCAGCAGTTTGATCTAAATCGATTATTAAGTGTCCTAGTCTAGAACCAAATATGAACGTCTCCATGTGTTCGTTCAATGAGGTATCCTTGTGGCCGTAGTGTACCCTCGCATCGTACAGGTCCTTCACAGTGAACAGTTTATGAACTTCAAAGAAGTCTGGATGTGTTAAAGGATCTAATGTAGAGGCAACTGAGGTTTCTGAAACATTGAACAGTTTTATGTATATAAAATAGGGCAGTATTAGGTTATAGAGATATTCTTTCATAAAAATGATTTATATGACATATAAAGATATATATATGTTTCTAACTCTTAGGAGCAATATGAGCAGAAAAATACAATACTATAGCAAAAATATTCCTACAAACCGGCTTCTTCCACATTCGATTGAGACTGAGTCGATAATTGGCATCGGCGAAGGTAGGAATTACAGGTGACAGATCGTAAACATTGCCAATCTCTCGAAACTGTAAGCAAAAAGATATTGGTGAATATGTACTTTAATTAATGATATTTCGCATTATATTCACGCAAAATAAAACAATTACGATTGAAAAATATCCGCCTCGCAAATAAGGACATTTTACTGAAATTATGGGTGCTTATTCCTTAATTTTATTTAATGAAATTTTTCCGGGAAGAGGAAAGAAAGAGAGTTTATAACAAGAAGCGACAGATTTGCAGAGGTTATCTTTTTGTGCGTGTGGTTATGAGGTTATGTGGTTTAATTTAAAGCAAAGATAATAAAATACAAAGAGGGAAATATTCCACATTTAACTAAATTGCCTAGTGAAATAATTTATAATTGCATCGCGAGGGGCGCTGTCATCAATAGTGACTAGAGTCCCTAGAAGATATCTTCTAGAGACTCTATAGTGACAAATCGCAAAAATATGCTTCTGGCGGGCTAAACGTTAAAACAGAAAGAAAATTATAATAGATGAAAAATCGTAAAAAATAGATAAGAGAAAATCGTTATTTTCGATATTTTAAGTAAATTTTAATTTATAAACTAGTTTTATTTGATATAATAAAAATTAATTATTTCATATATTTGTGAATGCATATTATAATGAAGTTCAATGAACATTCAACAATTAAAAAAGAACTATTTCCTTTGTTATTAAAAAAATATTATAAATAAGAATAAGAGTTTAAAATTGTGTAATATCAAAAATAATCATATGTAATAATATTAAATTTTTAAACTCGCATTTTTTGGCAAATAAACTTTAAACGTTATACAGCCAGGCGTTGTTTTATTTCCATTGCATATATGCTTATCTGTGTGTCGTATGGAATATATATTATGTATAATATGATAAATAATTTATATATACGCGAATAGACAATATAATGCATTTGACAACATTATTTTTATTCAAGATTTCTGACACATATTGTACATATATATTGAAGGAAATATAAATGGATATGCTTTTAAATAATAAGAAAGAGCTGAATTTTTTGCAAAAAGCCCATCGAAAAATGGTTGCTGAAGACATGGTTTCGCAAGCTTCTAGTGACTCCACTTTTATGAAACGCATTATAACTGGTGATGAGACATGGGTTTATGAGTACGACATGCAAACAAGTCAACAATCATCGGAATGGCGCTTCGAAAACGAGCCAAAACCCAAAAAACCACGTCAAAGTCGCTCAAAAATCAAAGTCATGCTCACTGTTTTCTTTGATAATCGTGGTGTTGTTCATTCGGAATTCCTTCCGGATGGACAAACGGTCAATAAAGAATATTATTTGAGTGTCATGAAGCGCTTGCGTGAAAATATTTGTCGTAAACGACTACATTTGTGGAAAGACAATTCTTGGATTTTGCACCACGATAATGCACCGTCGCACACATCGATCTTGGTACGCGAATTTTTGACCAAAAACTCAACGAATGTCATCGATCAAGCACCGTGTTCACCAGATATGGCCCCGTGCGACTTTTTCTTATTTCCTAAACTGAAATTACCACTTCGGGGAAGGCATTTTGAGTCGATAGAAGCCATAAAAAAGAATTCGCAGAAGGAGCTGAAGGCAATACCTTCTTCAGCGTTTGAAAAGTGTTTTGAAGATTGGGTTAAGCGTTGACATATGTGTATTGTCTCGGATGGGGGCTATTTTGAAGGCGACAAAATAAATTTTGAGGATTGAATAAGTAGATTGTATTTTATTTAAAAATTCCGGATACTTTTTTTACAGAATGTATAATATACTATATTATATAAGAATTAATTATAAAATTAAAATATGTAAATTTTTATGTTTTAATAATATTTACCTTATTCTTGTAATCATATTTTTTAATTTACAATGCTTCGTTAATAAATGATGCTATTTTGCCATTTTCCATCATGGTAATATGAGTACCTTCCACGTAATGAATTTCCACTGCATTTTCGGTAATCTAAAAATATTTTTTTTTATAAAAATAATCTTAAAATGATAAAATGTTACGCTCTAATTAAATTTACCTTATGTAGACCATAATCCTCTTCAGTAAAAGTGACAGGTGTAAGTGTGGGTTTTAATAGTATTATAGATGATTTAAGGCGTGGCAATGATGTTATATTATAATTTTGTATAGCAATTATATGATCGTAAAACGTTGAACATAAAAGTTTCTGATTTTCAATAGTTAATACATTGATCTCTTTCGAAAAGTAAGCAGTAAGAAATTCTAATTTCTCTTCCCATGAATTGCACTTCTTCAACTCTACTACAAGCTGTAAAAAATAATATTACATTATGCACATTTAATAACAAAATGATAATCTGCATTTTAAACTGAGATAATAATCTGATATAAAATATAGTTTATTTTATCATTTTAACGCATATTCTAACAAATTATTTTATATATTTTTTCCTCCGATTAACTACATGTATAAACACAGTTAAATATAAATTACTTTTCTAATAAAAAGTCATAATGTGTTTTTAATAATTGACTAACCATATCATTGTTAAAGTTAAGATGAAATTTTATTATATGAAGTAAGATGCTATTTTGTAACTCTTGTTCTGAAGTATAATAAAAATATTTCTCTATCAAGAATTTCATTTGATCAGGAGCTCCATCGATAAGTATTAAACGTCCAGAGAAATTCTTAGCTTCTAATAATCTTGCTAATTCGATGGCAATTAAAGATCCAAATGAATAACCCACAATTAGAAATTCTTTTTGATTTTTCATTTTCTGCAATACATACTAGAAAAAAAAACATACTGTTTAATGAAATGTAAAAAAAGCGCGAATGCATGCACGTGTGTATGTATAATCAAATATTATTGTTTAAATACATAGCATTTTTAATAAATCTTTCAAATAGATTATTTTATAACTTCGTACAGGCAGAAGATATGCTGCTGATTTCATTATTGAATGAGTAACACCCGGCATATTAAGTACACCATGTTGCAAACACATCGCCGAAGGTTTAATTTCCGATTCTATCAATTTATATACGCTTGCAGAACCCTCAATTCCTGGTATAAGAAATATTTTATTTTCAGCAACTTCCCTCTTTGTAGCGACTTCTATATAAATAGCTGGATTCAAGTCTGAATCCTTAAGTTTCCGAGTCAATATTTTAAAACCATCCAAATCATTCGTATCAGCTTCAGTAGCATCGTACATGTTTTCTTCTTTCAGTGTATTTGTCATTTCTCTAAGTTGAGCAAAATTGAGATTTCGGATATCTTGTGCTGTCAATAAAATATCAAATTCTCTCTCCAACACTTGTTTAATTTCCACTGCCATCATTGAATCCATGCCTAGTTCAGCCAGTGATATGTTTGGCGCCACTATGTTTGGATTTTTCAATCCTATTTTAAAAATTAGAGAAAGAATTAAATATTTCGATGTGATTTTAACCGAAGATTTACCTAATCTTGAAATCGCAATATAACAATTACTAAAGTTTACATTTTTTGCACTGTTTCCAATGCACTCGGTTTTTTTTTTCAATTTAATGTGCTTCTAATAACATTGTCAAATAAAAATTTATTTCTTATAAATGTTTTATCACAAATCTTTTACAACATAATAGTTGTTTATAAACTCACCCATAATGTTTGCAATCGCTTCAAGTGGATTTGTTGCTTGGCCAGAATCTTTTCTTTTCTCAGCAACAACCATGCTGCTTACGATTGACCGATCTTGTAGCAAAAATACTTCTAATGTGTCCAAGCAAGAGGATATTCTTTGTTGCAATGTACCTCCAATAACAAGTTCTTTGTCATCTTCTTGCATATCTGCGACAAGCCCAACTTCACCAATCGCGCCCCACTGTATAGCCAAACCATGTAAACCTTCTTCCATTCTTCTTTCACAAATTCTTTCCATTACAGAATTTGCCATTCCGTAATTTGTTTGGCCTGCGTTACCTCTTCCGCACGAAACGGAAGAAAAAACGACAAAATGTCGAAGTTGAGGGCAAATTGTTCTCGATAATTCGTCCATCTTTTTCGTCGTCCATGCCTTTGACACGAAGGATTCTTCGAATGTTTGTGAAGACTGATTCTTAAATATATCATCTTTCAACACAACTGCAAGATTGAATATAGCATCCACAGGACCTTGTTCTTCGGCAAATTTCAATATAGATTTACAGTCTTCGTATTTCGAAGTATCAGCAGCTGTAATGATTTGTATATTTACACCGTAAGATTGCCATAACGTTACTCTTGATCGCTGATACCCGTTTTTTATTCCAGTTCGCGACGTCACTACCAGATTTTTTGCACCACGTAGAATCAACCAATCAATTAATTCTAGGCCAAAACCACCTAGACCACCTAAAACTATGTAACATTTGTGTTCCAGGCAGAAGTACTGGGGATGTGCAAATATAGGCTCATCCAAGAGTTCATCTTCTTTATGAATTTTTATCATTATCTACAAATAATATTAATTTAATACGATATTATATTCTGATATATATATAGTATATATCATAAACAGAAAACGAGGACAGTTTTTATTTATATGTAATATTAAAGATAACACAAAGAGAACAAAAACTGTGTGCATTTTTTTGAGCATTTAGTATTTCAATTCTAGTATTTCAACTATCTCTATTGTACGTATACTAAAAAATGATCATACCTTGCCAATATGTTTTCCAGCAGCCATATATCTAAACGCAGTTTCTATTTCATCCTTTTGAAAGATTTTTCTGCATAACGGTTTGATAGCTTTTTTCTTTAAACCTTCTATTATTTTATTCCATAATATTTCCTTAGCCTCTGGTTTTGCACAAAATACTTTATCCAATATTACACCGTGGAAACTAATGCCTTTTGAGAATGCAGATATTTTTAAAGGATTATTGGAAATCATATCAAACTTTCCAATTTCGAGGAAACAACCACCTTTTGCTAAGCAACGGATGGATGCTTGCAGTTTTTCTTCAGCTAAAGAATTCAATACGATATCTACTCCGCGACCTTCCGTCTTCTGGATAATCATTTGTTCAAAAGTCGTGTCTCGAGAGTTTCCGATATGATCCTCGGGAATAGAGGGAAATGTTTCTCTTATAAAGTGTCGTTTCTCGATACTTCCAACCGTTGTAAACACTTCGCAACCTTGGTTAAGCGCAAGGTAAATTGCTGCTTGACCAACGCCTCCCGTACCAGAATGAATTAACACTTTGTCGCCTTTCTTCATGTTACCTCTCATATACAAAGCGTAATAGCAAGTGCTATATACGCAAGGAACCGTCGCGGCGTCTTCCATCGTCCACTCGTCAGGTATGATCCAACTGAGATATTTGTCAGCTACGCAAACATTTGCAAATGCGCTAAAAATAGTGATTTAAAAAAAAAATATATAATGTATATTATTTATTATACTAAAGTTACATTTTAAAAAGCTTTCTTATTTTGGATGATATTCTGTATATAGAAAAGTAGAAAGAAGCAAAATATAACAATTCTTTCATCTTTTTTTTTATTTTATCAAAAGCTTCTTTAATTTAAATATAAAAATATTATTTTAAACAGTTTATTTACTAAAAATATATTAATTGAGACTCTGTGTGCATATCATCTTACCCATTTAAACACATTCCCATTATTCTTTGTCCATTTTTATTAAAACCAACAAATTCCATTCCGATTAAAGAACTAGAACTATTATTTCGTTTGAAAGATTCGACGGAAGTCAAAATAAGTCTACCGCTAGCTGTCATAATATCTCTAAAATTGATAGACGCATAAACTATTCTTATCAGATTTTCTTCATCATTATTGACCAAAGATATCCTGCTTTGCACCCAACAAAGAGTGCTGAGATCACCTGGCACCTAAAATAAATAAATATAACGGATTGTTTTAATGCTATTAAAGTTACAGTAAATCATTACTTAATTTATAAATAAAATTATTACAAAGCATTACTGCAATTTTTCTTAAATACTGCATCTTCTTAACGTACCATTTGAGAAACGTAAGCACTCTCTACGAATTTTGGTTCTATTAATGGTAATGGAAAATGCCTATAAGATCCCCAAATACTACCGGAACGTATAATATTGATGGGTAAATCCAGCTGTAGTTGCCTCATGTACAATGATTCTCGCAATGAAAAAGTAGGCGCATCTTTATCTTGAATAAATACACCTCTAATCATTTCACCGCCCGGTTCTTTTCGCAAACAATTGACAAGACCGATTAGTCCGCATTCGAAGTCTCCTTCTACGACGACTATAATCCTTGTATTTGTAATTTCATTTTCTACATTCATGAATGATTTAAGCTTGTCTATCCATGAGAATTCATAATTATTTACATGCACAACCTGTTGATTCTTCTTAATATCGTGTATTTTTCTTAATAATATAATTGTCTTATCGTTGGTGCGTTTCTCCAAAATTACTTTTAACCCATACTTATCCAAACATGAATAGTCATAGGTAGCATCCAACTCTTCAAAAGTTAGAAGAAATCCCTTCGGCATTATGACAGACAATAATTGTTCATACAATTCGTTTCTATTTTTTGTTAAAATTCCGAAACCAATAATCATCAAACAATTTTCATTTTTTGCCAGTTTATCAAATTCTGTTATAGAAACATTGTCAGGCAAAGCGATATCTTTGAACTGCTCGTGTGTTGCGACCAGTTTTATATCAGATTGAATTTGCGGTAAATCATTTAAAATTGTATTCACAAATAAACAATTTAATTTCTCCGCCATCACTTGATCGCAATCCTCGACCAATTCGATGATTTTTACGTTTATTCTATTATAACACTCAAGTGCAACGTGCACTGACATTCTTATTGCATCTTGCAAAGACATCACATTTAGATCTCGATGAGCAACAAACTTGTACTCTTCAAAGACGGGGTTGGCTACATTTTGTCGGCGAGATATAGCTGTAGCTATAATACCATATATTTCTATTCCTCCAGATATCAAAATATCTAAATGCTTATAATTTTGTACAAGGACTTCTGCAACATAAAAAACACAACAGTATATCAAATATATATGTATAGCATATTAAATATATTTTTCAAAAAATAATATTTTTTAAATATCGTGCCCACTTATAATACTGTAAACTTACGTTTTTCTCCATTTGAAAGTTTTTCAATGTGTTCTATATGAGATTTTGGATCGATTACCACTTTACGAATTCTTGTTGGTACAAAGAGACTTCTGGAATCCTGTCCCAAAATCATCATCTGTAACATACTGTCCATAAATGTTACCCAGTTGTCAGTCCAGGCAATATGACCATTCTTTCCCGTGATTGACGCGCTTTTTAGTCCACGAAATTCGCCGGTATATTGATAACCACGAAGTTTCAATTTTTTATAGATATCTTTTATATTCATTTCCTCTTTGTCATTGTCATTTCGATCAATAAATGTAGTATCTATTTTCTCGTCTTCAATATTAACTGGAATTCGTACTGTTCCAGTAACGACAGAATATCCTCCTTCGATTATTTCAAATTTGCTACTTCCTATAAGAATGTTGATATCGATTTCTTATACATACAGTTTTAAAAAAGAAATTTTATGCTATGTTTTTTTTATAATGAAATTCTGAAGAGTAAATGATATAATTGGCTTTTAATCGTTAATAACAAACTGCTAATAGTTTGTTTATTTGATACAAATTTTTCTGAATTTTTTTTCTCAACTGAATTTTTTCTCTTATTCACATTTTATGTAAAAATTTTTAATTTTTTTATATATCTAGTTTACAAAATTAATTTAATTACACAAGTTACCTTTTTGAATCATAAGAGTTACATTGACTGGACTTTCTTGTGACAAAATCGTAGAGCGTAGAAAATTGACATCTTCAAATATAATTGGTATATCGAGATGATTTTGCTTTTTTAACCAGCCGATCATCTGCCATATAAATAAAAGATACCCTGTAGCCGGTAATAAAATTTTTCCATTAACGACATGCCCGCTCATATATATAAATTCTTCCTCTAATAAATTTATAGTAATGGTTAATTCTCCAATGTCAAGTTTTCTTTGTCCAATATAACGATACGTATACCAGTCTTTGGAATGATCCCATCTGCAAAGCATGTCATTAATTCAACAATATATAGAACATTAAATTGTGCTTGTTTATTGTTTTAAATGATTAAAAGTAATGCAATTTAATTTTCTACTTTTTGAGATTCTATTATCTTGTGCTCTTTTATAGAAAAAAAAAATTTATGCTATATCAAACAGAATTTACCTTACGAGGTGAGAAATCATCGGTGTACCACGACTTACAGGAAACTTAACTTCCGGATATAAGTTTGCGATCTGCGGTTGTAATCCTGCATTATAAAGTTTTCCAATTCCATGTAAAAATATTTCAATATTCGATTTGTGAGAAAATTTATATAACGCGACATTTGTCACTGTTGTCTCTAAGGAATCATTAAGAATGCATTGTAGAATATCGTGCGGCGCTATCTCAATCGTCACTGCGTTGTTTGGAATAAAACGCGTAGTTTCTGAGAATAAAACCGGGGCTAGCAGATGGTTTGTATAATATTTTGCTAGACATGACTTTGCGCTGAACCATTCATAATTTTCATTCGACACATTTAACCATTTTGAGCTAGAAGACGCTTTCAATGGCAATATTTGATTCAAGTATTCCAAAAGTTTAACTCTTGCAGGCTCAACGTATCGACTATGAAAAGGTATATGTCCACAGGAAATTTCTTTTACAGAAATATTGTCGTTCTAAAATAAAAATAAACCTTATCATTTATTTAATTCAACATAATTATAAGCATGATAAATGTTATTTATACTATTTAAGCGTTTTCAAACCTGTAGCTTAGCAAGGAATGCTCTTACAGAGTTTGTTGGTCCACTCACAATAAAATTATGTGAATTATTGTAACAAGCTACATCAATATCCGATGGACACATATTCTTTATAGTTTTAAAATTGTGATTAATTTCTGCCATTAAGCCATCTATTATTTTTGACTTAAGAAATGCCAAGCCGGCATAATATGCCAACGTAATCGTTTCTTCGGCCGTCAAGCATCCATCGGCGTATCCACATATCAACTCACCAATAGAATGACCCATTATAATATCAGGAATAATACCAATACTTGTTAGAAGATCAACTATTCCGATCTGCAAAATACATATAATTTTTTATATTTTCCAACTTTCTATTTTTTGTGAATAATATAATATAAAATATTACAAATAGCTTTTTATATATACATTTAAATATATATGTAACAGGCTTCTCTTAATTTAAGTTTTTTACAAGAAGATTTAGCTTTGTATGAAAAATAATCCTGTAACACATATATAAACGATATATTTTATTTGTACATATATATTTATACCTGTAATCCAATAAGGCCTACAAATAAGTTGACTACGTTGTCAAGAATATGTTTATCTTCATTTATTAGAATATCTGTGATAAATATACCGTGAGGTCTTAAAACAGTATCGCATTTCTGGATTGCTCTAGTGAATGCTGGAAATTTCATTAGAGCTCGACCTATCAATATTTCAGAAAAATATTATTACATTATTGCATAATATGTTATTGATACGTTATTTAAAATAATGTAATATTTTTATATAATTGATTTAAACATACATAAATAAAATTTCTAAAAATTGTTTATCTTTATTTTGCACGTGCTTCCTATAGTGTATCATTATTATATTTTAGTTTAATTTATATCAAAAAATAGTTTTTACATCTAGTAAATGAAATTTAAAGAATTATTTATTAAAAATTTGCAAACTAAAATTTTAACATATATATAAGAATATCAATATATGTATATAATTTAAAAATTGTTAAACACTAATTGCAAACAAACATGTATCTTAACGATTCATCAAGTCAATCTTGACAATTGTTAAATATTATATTGTAATATAATATTTGATTTACTTGCCCATGTTAAGACATTGAGATCCAATTCCAGAAAATATAAAGCAAATCGGTCTCTTCATACTTAGGTTGTGTCTCATTTTAATTATTGCGTTATCGGATACATTAGATCCGGCAATTATGTATCCTCTGTAGGGATGATTTTTTATATTGTCGCTATGAATGCGATGTAGCAGAGAGATATATTCTACATCTATCGACCGACTCTGTATCTATAAAGATATCGTTTTTTATTGCAAGTATATACAACAATTATCTTATAATATATTATTTGTGAAATAAATTGTAATGTGTACTTACGTCATCTAATATAATTTTAACTGCTTCCTCCGTACGTCCAGATATAGCTACAAGCCTTGGTAAATTATCTTCTACTCCATTATTGACTTTAATTTTTGGATTTGATTTCAGTAATACATGGCAATTAGCACCGCCAAATCCGAAGGAATTAATACCGATATAACCACCTTTCCATTCTGTTGGTTCTGTGATTATTTTTACTCTTCCTTCAATGATAGCGGTCAAATCTTTTCGCGGATGTTTAAAATGTATAGTAGGCGCAATTTTACCAGTTTCCATCGCTATTAAAACCTTTATGAGATAAATATATTTCTTATAATGATACCTTGCAAATTCTATAATTATAATAAATAATCAAAATTACCATTTAAATAAAAAAAATATTTGCCTAAGTTTATATGTAGCATTAGATTATATAGTTCTATTAACTCTATTTTGTTATAAACTTACCTTTGCAATTTGGCAATGACCACTAACGGCTTCAGGGTGTCCAATATTCGACTTTACTGAACCCAATAACAGAGGAAGCTGTCTTTTAGCGCATAAAGCTTCATCGATGGCTCGAAGTTCCACAGGATCGCCGGCTAGAGTACCAGTTGCATGAGCTTCCATGTAAGATAGTTGAAGAGGCGAGATATCACATTCTTTGTAAAATTCTTCCAATAACATTTTTTGTTTGTCAAATGATGGAAAGGTAATTCCTTCTTCTTTAAAACCATCGCAGTTGGTTTTACTATAGACAAAGGTTGCATAAATTCTCTTTGCATCTTTTGCTTTTTGTAGATACACTACTACAGCTGCATCACTACGCATGTAACCAGCGCCTTCTTCATCGTAAGGTTTACAGTAGCCATCAATAGACAAAACTCCTAAAACAATGTCAATAGTTCATTTGTTTCAATCAATATAAAGGATATAACTTTGTTTATAATATTTTGTAATATTATATATCAATATAATATTTTTACCATTTAAGAATGCAACAACTTTGAACGCAATAATATTATTTTTCACATACCTAGACGAAAAAATTGATGAGTTACAAAAGGATGAATGCACAAATTGATACTAGCAACAATAGCCGCTTCGCAAATGCCAGATCGAATCATCCTGTAAGCTTCCATCATAGCAAAATGACTTGAGCTGCATGCAGTGTCAATGTTATACGATGGTCCAGTAACGCCGAGCCAATAAGAAATTCTGCTTGCTATCATGCTCTTAGAGCATCCAATAATGGGTAATCCAGCAATCTATTAGCAATTACGATATAATTTTCATATGAAAAATGTTTTCTCCATATTCAATAATATCTTTTTATATATATATTAATATACTTATATACTTTTAAGAGCGCGTAATATACTTATATACAATACTTATATACTTTTAATACTTAAATTATTGAATAACCAACGTGAACCACATACGTGATGTTTTTCGTATATTAAATCTAAATATGTATCACAAGCACTTATTGCTGTGATAACGCTAGTATTTGTTCCTTGTAATTCTGCGGGATTTACACCCGCATCAATAATTGCTTCATAGGTATGCTCAAGTAACATTCTGGATGCAGGATCAATCACATTAGCTTCTTCGGCCGATATGTTAAAGAATTCTGCGTCAAATTTTTGTATATTGTTCATTTTTCCTATTCGAGGAGGCATTTCATAGATATCTGTTAGAATTAAAAATAATATGGATAAAAATAATAATATAATAAGTAATATTGTTATATTATTATGTCATAGATAATAATTATACTAGAATATTCCTAAAGATATATTTTATATATAATTTTATTTATTTATTTATGATTATATGTGGATTTTTCCGAGATAATTCTGAGAAAAAATATTATTACAGTTAGTCCAACGTTGATGATCGCTCGAACCAAGATCCATTTTATTGAAAATATTGTCCTGATATTCTTTTATATTGTCAGAATTAGGAAATCGTCCGGTAATACCAGAGATAACTATTTCTTCTTCAGCATCTACTCTGACATATGGATTGAATCGCTTGTTATTATCCATCTTCTATAAATTTTAGTAAATCTAAAAAGGGATATCAGAACTTTATTTCAGAATTACATATATGTGAGAGAGAGCAAAAAAAACAAGAAAAATATATACTCACCAATTTTGTTCAATTTTTAAAACTTTTGTATGGAACTAACAGCAGCGATGATTCTAAAACTCTATCAAAAACTTTATAAAACTGACTAACACGATGACAATTTATATCATACAGCAGAACACGCCCTATTTTTTGTTAAATCAGATCGCTTGTGTGACAACCACGCTATATATAACGGCCATAATCCTAACAAGCCTCACCGAAAAAAATATATTGTGTAATCAGTACAATTATACATTTGATTAAAACCAGCTTAATACATATCGTGTCAAAGTTCAGCGAATACATAATCAAAAAGTAAAAATGTATGAATTATAAAATAGACATAATAATGCGATTATTACGATGCATCTATTTGCGTTTTTACAAAGCACATTTAAATATGAGATGTATTAAAAATATGCAGTTGTAAAGCATTAAAAAATGTACTTTACATATATCTTTTTATAAGTAATGGTAGAATTTTGAAAGGGATAAGCATATTTTTGAAATTAACAGCAGTCAAAATTATTTTTTTGCGTTGAATATTAAATTACTATTTAAATAATATTTTTGGTAATAATTTTATTGCATTTAATGCACATAGTAACTGTACAGTTTTCAAAAGCATAATATTTTTTAAAAAACGTTTTAAATATTTTTGAAATATTCCATTTTTATATTATTTTTAAGGAAAAAAGTTGAAAAATTAAGTTTATCTATATTTTTATTATTTTTAAATAAAAATTTGAAAACTTAAAAGCATTTAACGCAAAAGATAGATCTATTTGTATATATATATATATATATATATATATACAAATACATATATATATATATATATATAGAGTGTCCGGTGATAACCATATCATCTCTCGTGTGCAGGTAGAGTGGATTAAACCGAGTAGGGAAATCCTCTATCATTTTGCAATTTTTATAATAATTAATGAGAATGTAATTAATAAAAGTCGGCCCTATCTATGCGAGTATAAGCGCGCGGTGAGAGAAAACATCTCACTATTACGTGATTACTAGATGCGATATATAATTAAACTTGATTATTAATTAATTAATTATTTCTACTTCTCAGTTTCAACCGCTCTAGCTGCACTCGGGAAATGATACGTTATTACCGAATATCCTACATGTGAATATACATATACTGACCTTAAAAGTTTAACCTTTCCATTTCTCAAAGCAGGATTATGCAATATAAATTATACATGTAAATTTAAATCAATATCTTATACGTAAGTTCAAAGATTATCGGAATTAAATGAATTTTGAATACTTAATTAGATTGAAATACATACAACAATACAATTTTTACATATATCTCTTTATATATATATACATATTTTTTAATATTAAACATTATTATAGCAATATTATAGCAATATTACAGCGGATTTATTTTAGTGTTATGTCTAAAATTTACAAAATACCGTATTTTTGAGCCCTTTGAGGTACAAACGAAATTAAAAGTGGAAACAAACGGATATAACAAACAAAATTTTCTATCAAATCTCGTTGGCCATTTTTCGATATCCTAAGAAATAGCGGATTTACCGTTTTAGTCATTTTCCACTTGGGATCTGATAGACCCCAAGAAGGTTTTTTTACTCTTGAGGCCTATCAGATTTCATAAGTTTTTAAAATCTCTCTCTTTCTCTCTCTCCCCTCTTTTTCTATCTCGAAGATTCCGCTTCTTATTTTTCATGAATGTTTTCTTTATGTCAGCGATCTATTACTGAAAATAGAATATAACACAAAGTCTAATTCTAAATCATTTCTAAATATTAAAAATTATAACAAATATGTTGTTAAAACTTATTTAAAATAATCTTGAATATATCTAAAAGTAAACATAAAACCTCCGTTAATATAGTAAAAAGAAAATACAATTATAAACAAATTTATTTTATTTATTTTACAAATTTATATAAATTATTTCTTGATTATTATAACACATTGAATTAAATCTGGGTACCGATCATGTAACTTTTTCCTTAGGGCGGAAACGTGAAAAGTGAAAAATATTAGCATTTTGAAATCAATGGCAAAATTTTTCACTTTTCACTTTTTTGCCCTAGGGGAAAAGTTACGGCCGGTATTCATAGTCCGTTCTTATATTCAAGATCGTCTTAAGTACGATCTTAAGATACTATGCGGCCATTTCATTGGTTGAATGGGATCTTAAGACGACCCAAGACCACACTTAAGACGATCTTGGATATAAGAACGGACTATGAATACCGGCCTACATGATCGATTCCCTGTGCGAACTGTCATGTCCGCGATAATGGCAGCTATTCATGAAATAAGCACGAGCGGGAGAACCAATCAGCATGCGATCTCCGAGATCAAATCTGCAATGGGTCATTGCCGATCGCTCCTGACGCGCTCTTGCGAACCAGCAATGACCATGAAATTGCCAGTCATTTTTTAATCGTATTGCGGTTAGTTGTTGTGCAGTGATTAATAGTGTTGCGAATTTAATTTAATTAAGCATTTAATCAAAACGAAATGGGAACAGTACGAATAATTAACGACGACCGTCATTTCCACGGCGAATTGGCCAGTGCCGGACAAAAGCTCGTCGTTGTAGATTTCACTGCAAGTTGGTAAGCCCCTTTTAGGTTACATCCGTTTTTATTTTCGTCGCGTTTTAATTTTATTGAATTCCACATTTATTTGGGAATATAGATTTTAACACGATCGCGTTGATCCATACTCCAGAATCGTTATTTTCTGAACTTGCATCTGAACTCGATGAAAGACCAGCCATTAGAAGTAGAATGTGTGTGTGAACTGTCAAAAAAAGTAAGAATATCATTAAATAATCTCCTCCCGTGATTATAATACATCTGTTCATTTCAGTTACATTTCTTTACATTTTCTCCATTTAAAATGAAATAAAATGTATATTTATGTCTTCAAGAAGAAAAAAAAGAAGATCTCTATATTTTACCCCCATTACCCAAGCAAGATAATTAATTTCATTCTGTTTCTCAATAAATTTATCAAATTTTTTTAAGTACACTTTGCATATTGATTATCGTGTTGTGTTACTATGTTACAAGCTTTTATATCTTTTGTGAGAACTTAATTTAATATTATGATGATTACGTGATATCTTGTTTGGTCTATGATTGCGCAGGTGTGGACCCTGTCAAAGAATTGCTCCAGTATTTGAGCAACTGTCACTGAAGTATCCTAAAGCAGTATTCCTGAAAGTGGACGTAGACAAATGTGCAGATACTGCCTCAGTGCAAGATGTGCGTGCAATGCCCACTTTTATCTTCTACCGCAAACGCGCGAAGCTAGGTCAATGCCAGGGCGCAGATCCGGTAGGACTAGAATCGAAGATCCAGCAGTTCTATAGTAGCGGCGATTCTGATGACACGGATGACACGGCCGCGGATTCCCTGTCTGGTCATGTACGAAACACTGATAATGCCTATTATCACATCTTCGGAATGATCTTCCTTGCTGTGATTCTGTACTATTGGAATAAGTATCAATGAAGAATTAGTTAGAGTTATCTATCCAGACGAAAGTCTGTCAAACACAGATATTACAAAGTATCTTCTATAAATTTGTCAAATTTTTGGAAAGACTTAAATTTTATATAGAACTTGCAGTATGCAATACTATTATATTGATAAACTATTGACAAAATATAATAAAGTACCAACAAAAACCAAGATTGCACTGTAAATTGATAGCAGAACAAAGATGCATTTAACCATTTAAACTCTATTAAAACTTTAACTTGTACATAGAAATAAAGTACATATGTAGATTTTTTTTATGTGGGACTATTGCTAAAAAAATATGACTGAATTCTTCAATTATGCAAGTTGCAAATATCAAAGTATCAACATTTATATATGACATATCTGTTTTGACATCATATTCTAATATTTCTACACCCATATAAATTTGATGGAATCTTCTTTACTCAAAATTTAATTAAATCATTTCTATAGAATCAATTTACAGTTATTCTTGAAATACTTTCTATAATCTCACATTTTATATTATACAAAAATTGAAAAATATTTTCTACTTATGTTATATTATGATATAAATATATCAAATATTGTTAATGTATGTGATTTTATATTGAAAATAATACAACTTTGATACTTGCTTGCTTGTTAATCATTTAATAACCTTCATCTAATCAATTCCAAAATCTCTCATATCTTTTTTTATTGAAATAAATAATAAAAAATCAATAAGATTGTAAATGTTAACTAGTAACATTATGTTATTCGATAACAATTTTGTTAATACTAATTGTTATAAAAGAGAGAGAGAAGGAGAAAACACATTAGAGATTAAAAGTATAGATGACTTTACAAAATTAATGGTCAAAAAACGGTTTTATGTGAAATTAAATCTAAACAAAACTAGAAATGTAAAAATATTTTAGTTATTTATTAAATAAGAGAAATACTGTTCTTCAATATGTATGCCATATGTGGAATACTATGATTCTGTTAATAAAATTATAGTTATAAAGTACTTTTAAAGAGTTCTATAAAATTAAATTAAAGTTTAAATGAATTTTTCTTAAAACAGTTTTTGCTGTTTCTCTTTTTTTCATCTCTATATTCTTTCTCCTTTTTTATCTCAATTTCATTCTACTGTTAAAAATAAATGTAAATATTTTGACACATGTTGGCATTGGAATTTGAAATTTACCAAAATTATATTAATTTGAAATCCTGCTTATTAATTCCATTGAAATTGATCCTATTTTGTTTTTTCTTTTTTATGTTTGAAGTTTATTTTATTTTTCATTAATATTATATATACAATTTACTGAAGATAGATTTTGGTTGTTTTTCAGATGGACTTATCCAGTTTTATAATGAAACAGCAGTGCGAGTGCCTAAACGAGTCGGATTACCATACTTTCCCTCAGTGTTTGAACTCGGATAACGGATACCTTCAGAGCGATGAGGATGAACAGCTAATAATGTCTCTCGCATTTTCGCAGCCCGTTAAAGTTCATTCTCTCAAGATTAAAGCGCCCGCAGAGAACGGACCGAAAAATATCAAGTTGTTTATCAATCAGCCCAGGACGATCGATTTCGAGATGGCGAGTTCCAATACAAGTGTTCAAGATCTAACGTAAGTTTTGAATGAAAACTGATGATTTAAATCGGATAATTAATTATCCGATCTATTCACTATTAATAATAATAAATCAATTTACATCTCTATATATTTGGATATTTATATCCATTATCTAAATTCGGGGATATCTTTTTTTCTATTCGGGTACCGTTGTCTTAAATTTTATATAAGTAGCTGTGTACTCTCTATCCGAAATAATCGGATACTCAAGTATTCGGAGATCATATTTGTGTATTTTTAATTCAGTGATTGACAACATAACTTTTTGACATAGATTGTCGGCCAAGGATCTCGAGGAAGGAAATCCCGTTCCACTGCGCTATGTCAAGTTCCAAAATGTGCAGAATTTTCAAGTATTTGTGGTAGATAATCAGAATGGCTCAGAGACAACAAGAATTGACCAATTAGTCATAATTGGCTCGCCAATTTCGACCACAAATATGGGAGAATTCAAAAGAGTATCCGGCAAAAAAGGAGAGAGTCATTGAAAAATTTGCCTGCAACAATAATATCAGAATATCAGAAGTTCTTATTTGAGTACTAACACATTCCCCCATTATTTCTTTGCAAAATCAGCAGATGTAACAAGACTTGAAATAATAAAATAATCTGATTTGAGAATAATGTGAATAAATTTATATTTATAATATTTATTATTAATTTAATACCTTATAAATATAATCTATTATTAATTTATTATATAATTACTATTATAATTACTATTTATTTTATTACTAGTTATTATTAATTTAGAATATTTACAGCTCATGCGTGTGCTTACATACAAATAATGTGAGTCCTTTGACAAGTCAATTTAACTTAACATTGATCTGCAGTTATTTATTCACGCTCTCCTCTCTTTTTCTCTCTCTAATTTTTTTTTCTTTGATACTTAGTAAAATAGTTCACATCATTTTTGTTTGATTAATTAATTTTACCTTGTGCACCTTCTCTATTTTTACATGTTGAAAAAAACGAATTACATAAGTTTCTCGTTGACAGTAGTATAAGAAAGAATAACTCCTGCAAGAGATTAAGAAGTTTTAAGTACCATCACAGCAACATAGTCAAACGAAGGAATGCTCTCTCTGGTAAACTGATAACTTCCAATTTAGGAATTATTTGAAGCAATTTCACATATATATTAAAATTATTATCTCTATAATAACGATTTTTGGACAATCTTCATCAACAGGCTTTGTGGATTCGCCAGATACCACCGCATCGACAGGCTCGTGTCCATCTTTGATCCCAGGCTCTAATCGCAGCTGTTCTTGTCATATTCTGTACTTGTGCCTTACCACCGCATCTGAGAAAAAATATACATAAAGTGTTAATTATGCTATAATACAGGACCATTCAGTTTTTTATGATTATTGTAATTAATGAATACCTCGTGCATTGTTTCACTAAAAGCGGCTGTTTTCCTAAATATAAATGTCGTATCGTGTCTACAATCTGCCCACTGTGCATGCAACCTTCAACGGGATTCATTTCAGGTGTAAAAACCAACTGCTCGGGTTCCACTCCATATTCTAACTGCACTCGTGAATTGTAATAGAATGATAATAACAAATGTATAATACAATACAGATATAATATATATATATAAATAGAATAACAGAAAGAAGTTTGAACATTTTTCAAAATAATAATTCTACACTCTTTTTATATTTTGGAAAAATAATTAGAAGTTTTGCAAATTTCTTACCTGTAATGGAAGGTTCTGAGAAAATAAAATTGGTGAGACTATAGCGGTTATGCTATTTCCTTGATGCAATTGTGGAATCATGATTTGGTTTGGTAGCAAACAGCATTCATCTAAAAAAAAATTTATTCAATTGTCAAAATTTCCAGCATTCAGATGATTAAAATATTATAATTTCAAATTCAAAACAAAGAATATGCACCTTATATATGTGATAATGTATATAAATAATTGTATATGTATAGTGCACTATATTTGTATAATATTAATTATAACTTTTGTAGAGAGGAAAAAGAGATAGAAAGTAGATATAAAAAATATTTAAAAAACACTTATTGTAATATTTTATATTTATAATTAATATTTTTTATTTATAGAGCAATTTATCCTTCAACCTCAACTTTTTTCAAATTATATTTCTCTCTTTTTATTTAATTAATTATCATAATTAATTGTCTTTAGTAATTTAGTAATTTAATTATCTTGCGAAATAAAGGTTTTTAGCGAATTTGCTTCAGTGGATTGTAATCTTAACATTGGTTTTTCCAGTTGTTTGTCCACACATGGATCAATCTGAAGAAAAACTTCCGTTTTCTCATTGACTGGGCTGCCCACATCTGCTACAAAGTAATTTGACTCGCATTTTGACTTTGATTCATTTATCTCATCCTTTTCATTCTTTGCATCTTTTACATCTTTCCTATGCTTTACATCTTTTGTATTTTTTTCTTCCTTTGTATTTTCCATATTCTTCGTATTATCCTCAGTCGTTTCACTTGAGAAGAAATTCAGCGTTTTTGTCTCCAGCGATTTCGCGTTCTCGGCTTTTTCCGCTTCGCGAATCAAATCGATGAAAAACAGCTCTCTTGGCGACATCGGCGTTTTCGGAGATTTTATCTCGTCCGGAGACAGTACTGTCACCAGCTTGAGATAATCTTGCAAGGGACTTTTCTCAACATAATTACTGGCAATGTCTAATTGAGCATTCTCGTCCTTTTCAACATGCACGACTCCGATATCTTCGATATTTTCACCAGATATTTGTTTGTGTATCACTAAAGGCGGCAGGTCTTTCCTGAGGAAATTTTCTCGATTATTTTTCTTAGATTCTGGATCGTTCGAATCATTCAACTTCTTTGTCTCGAGAGATTTTGTATCTTTAGATGATATTTGGTAGACGTTTAGAGATTCCTCTACATTATCTGTTCCATATTTCGAGATCATGTTAATTTCAGGATTTTGTTTAGCTAGTAAACTCCTCCGAAAGATTATTAATCCACACATGATCACAATCCAGATTAGAAATGCAACTGTCCAAAAGAGAAGAGGCCAATACGAATACCAATGTCTGAATGTGTAGCATATAGCCCAAATTAGAGGACACAAGATGAACCAATAAACCAAAAACACACTAAATATTAACCAAGGGAACGATAGGTGCTCGCATCTCTTCAGTTTGATCTGTTTGTAAATCTCCTTCTTCTCTCCACGAAACATTTTGTTTTCCTTTAAAGCGATAGAATCTTTATGTTTCATTGCAAGTTTGGTAGTTATTGTATCTTTGTTCATGAATTTCACTTTTATTCTTCTGTAGAGTATTCTTCTTGATTAAGGCTATATCATATTCTATCGTTGCTGGTTTTTTGTTTTTTGGTTTTTTTTTTAAATAAAGAGAGAAATATACTAATCGTGTTGTATAAGTTATTACATACAATTGTATTACACTTGTAATTATACATTTATTTTTTCTAATTTAAAGAATTTGTATTGCTTTTGTACTGTAGTATTACTGTGCAGTAATTATATTAATATATAACTGTTATACACAATGTGAACTGTTTAATACTGATAAATTGAATGTATCCACTTTGAATTATTCTTATGATTCAGGATGTGGTTGTTTTATCAAACTTCCTGACCACAACTTATAGTAATCAAGTAGCAAATGTATATAGTAAAAGAATTCAATTTGCATCAAATTTGTTTTTAGATTGCAAGAATATAGGCCAAATTAACTTAATTTTTTAATGATAATTTTTAAAAATATATAAGCAAAAAGAAAAATATATCCAATTATCTAATCTAGAATAGAATCTACTTAACTAAAGGACAGAATTTTTTTATCTTGATTTTTATTTTTTATTGTTATATTAGCACTATGAACAATTACTTTAACTTGTATCAAAATATCAATCTTATTTTTCCTTGAAGTTTCAAAATCAGTCTTTATATAGTTGAGTCATTAAAAGCGCCTTGTATTACAGTAAATAAATATCTTGCTGCTCAGAAATATGTAAGGTATTAAAAAATTCCAAAAAAATAAGCAAACATACCGATTAAGCTATCATCCACCTGTTGTTGTTGTTGTGGATCTCCATTAGGTTGAACCAACTTTGATAACAAGCAAAATAGTAAAGCCAGAACATCTAAATTATCCGTACTACGAAGAAATACTGGAAGACACGATGGACGAAGCAATCCCCAAATACGTATGATGACCAGCAGTTCCCGAACGGTATTCAAGGCCTTATGGTCCTTAAGAAGTTCATACTGCAAAGTAAAGAAAAGACTATATATGATCCACAATAATGTATTTAAACTCACACCAGATACATTATATATTATTACAGATTATTGTATCACTAGATAAGAAATGAATATTGAAAACATTTAACATATGTGAACATGACGGAAAGTACTTACGCCACCAGTCTTTACTTGCATCCTTTGCTCAGGCAATCTGGCCAGCAAATTCAAAGCTAAATCAGCAACCCATTGAATAAGTTGTTGCAATGATTGCAGTGTGCTCGGCTCCACTGTAAATTCTTTAGGATCGGGTAAATAAATTGACAATACCTAAAAAATATTAAAAAACAATTAAATTTATTTTATTTTATTAATTATTAAAATTCCATTTTTATTTTGTGATTGTATCTATCATTAATAAATTATTATTTATTATTGATTTATAGAATCTCTATATGTTCAGATTTATCGAGGAAGGACGGGGGAGGAGAAGGAGAGGAATCGAGTGAAAATATAATATATAAGGGAGAATATTTTTAAAATATCCGGAATGTGATATTACCTTATCAATGTTATCAGTATTATCAGTGATGACATCTGTTATTACTGCAGTTAAGTTCTCTGCTGGACCTTTGTCATAGGATATCAGATCTGATGGCCTCAATAGAGATTTGAAGGCAGTAGCTACTGAATGTATCATCAGTAATGATGACAAGTCTGCTGCTTTATTCTGTCCTGATATTGTTCCGAGCATTCTGAAAATATAATTGCAAGCATTTAATAGTTTGTAATTTGAAACAAAATCTTCTTTTATACTTCTTTCATACTTCAAAAATTAGAGATTATTAAAAATAATTTTTAAATTTTAATGACTGAAATAATTAAAATAATAATTATTAAATTTTATGCTTAAGACACTTGTACTTTCAAACTCAATTTAGAAAATAACTAAAAAAAAATTTCAATGGTTTTAGAAACTTGTTTCCAAGTTTTATAAATCTTCCTTGTATTATAATTATGTTCACAAATTTTTCAATTTTACCTGTACAATGACGTCTTGATACATAAAAATTGAATATAGTGATACTGCTGAGTAGGTTGTGATTGCCTATTGAAGGACATGTCCAATCTCTCGCATAGCGCCTCGATCATAGACGATCTCAAGCATAAAAGTATATCTAACCAATCCAGTCCTGTTACCAGACAATACTCCAACAATGTACAGGCATAGCTCAATGACATCGATGTACCTATAAGTAATATAAATGATTTTGAATGTGAAACACCAAACCACATCTCGCAATCCTTTTCAAATTTCTTATAAGTAATGAATTAACACAAATAATGAAAACATGATATCACACCTGTAGTACCATCTGGCAACAATTTGTAAAGATACAGATTGCCATGAGTATCGCACGCAAGAAGGACACATCCCAACCATGATAGATCCATATGAGCAATAGAGACTGAGCTCTTGAAGTATTTATTACTAGGTTCATCTTGGCGCCAGCCTGTATTTAAGGACGAAAATGCTACTTCCTTAAGACAATCCAAACGATTTAGACAATGCACCGATGAATCCGCTAATGCTATTATCACATAACTTGGAGGTGGCAATGTTGTCACTATAGATAGTTTCGTAGTCGCTATCGCCGTAACCGGCGATTGGCAGCGATACTGCGATTGATACTGCCAAACCTATGGAAATGACAATGTATTAAAAATATATCTACATAATGGAAGCAATAATTAAAACACCTAAGTTTATTGTGTAAATTTATAACAAAACTTTTCCTCTTGTATTGCTCTTTTATTACTTCATATTTTCATTCTATGCATGTAGAGTCAGATGCAAAGTAGTAGAAGAGCAGCGCAAGGAACATGACAAAGACTAAAGAAATATAGAGTAAAAATATGAAAGTTTATGATAGTAATTGAATACTTACAACTGTCTTGAAAGGTTCCAGACTTTGTGGTTGGAACAATTTGTGAACAGGTTGTGACTTTTCTCGCAACTCCCACACTTCTACAAAACCGCCATTCTCGCTATTTGCCGCGATAACCAAAGAATCTGCGTCTTCTCTGACCACAAATTTTAAATGTGTCACAATTGTACCTGCAAGAAAAATTATAGCCATAAAATGATAAACTATTTCCAAAGTGTGCTCCAAGCATTTAAACAATTAAATTGAATAATTAATCTTACACGAATTATCTTTGGGTGCTCCATCCTGCAAAAAGAAGCTTGGTAAAGCTTGCGAGGTGATGGTACATTTGTCGTCATTTTTGCGAACTAACACTCTGTAGCATCTTATCGGCAAACAGATGCTACCGCTGCTAACTGCGACGAGGAAATGACCGTCTGAAATTTACAAAGAAAATTTTTGCAATATATTCGTGCTGTATTTATAGATCATTCTATACACATGATAAAAAATACTTTTTCCATAACACAAGTCGACAGCAGTTATCCTGTGTCTCGTATTGCCAAGACTCTCTGTAGAATAACAAATCGGATTTTGAAGATCCTTCGTAATCATAATCGCGCCGACCATACCCGTCGTCGATACTACCAGCACACCTTCAGCGGCTCGGCCGCCAAATTGCCTCACTGAAGGTGCAAATAGCAGATGATTAAATTTCTCGCTATAATGGATATTGTCCTTTTTCTCCGTTACTAATCCTGTCTAGAGAATCCATAAAGGTACATTGGGAATTAGAGTGTATCTCTCACTTAAGATTATATATAATTTATATATTGAGAAGCCTAAATATCTTTTTAACAATGTAATATAAAATAATAACAATTAATAATTTCAATTATTATTCTAGTAATATAAAAACTTTTGAAAACTTTCTGTTGTTCAATATATTAACTTGATCATCTAAATACCTTTTTACCATTATGGAACCATGCAGCACCTAATATATGTTCACCAGGGAAATATGTAGAGCCCACTAACACCCAATCATTTAAGATATGATCCTTAAACATCCACAACTGCACATTTCCAGCTGTATCTGCCATTACCAATTTGTCACCGGGTAAATCCCATTCCAATGCAGTAATATTGTTTTTATTTGACAAAACTCTAAAAGCATAAAAGAATTGATAGTTTAATCTTTCGACTATGTAAGCCTTCCAAATAAAAAAATTTAATAAAAGTATTGAGTAGTAATCAATTGTCTATCAAATAGAAAAAATATTCGAGAATTAAATACTTACTTATGAGCATGCCATGGCATATTCAAGTCTGCTACATAAACATGGCAACCCCGTGTTTTACCACTATTATCATCTAACTCTGTCATTGTAGTAAATGCTACTATATTTCGACTGGATAAGGAACATAAGGACTGCCCGGTGTATAAACTGGAAAAGTAATATCATTAGTCAATGTCAAACTTAAAATGTTACCAAATATTTTTATAATTCTGCAAATATGCATAAAACAATAAGCACAAATATATTTCTAATCATGTCATATTTAATAAAATATAGGAAAAATTATTGACATCTCTCTCTAAATTAATTTATATACAAACATACAGTGCATATATTTTTTTTTGCTCATTCTTCATATCTTAGAATTATGTTAAATACGTGCTTTTATAAAATATATATTAAAGATATATTTTTAAGAATCGTACCATTCTTGATTAGAAAATATTTTAGAAGAACTTCTTCTGTTGACAGTATACAGTAAATCCATTTTTATAATTGACCATAACTAAAGCGTATAACCAGAGAGAGAACTCCGTTGAGACCATAAAGAACGGAGTAAATAGACGAGATCATACTTCCAAGAATGTCCACCAATCAGATTTTCTATGCAATATGGTGATTTTTATGACACATGCGTAATACAACACTTCATATTTCTCTTCCGTGTTCCTTACATATACTGTTGCATACTTTCTGCTTGTGTCTACCCGTGTCGCAAGCTCGTGCTCGTGCTGTCGTGTGTCCTTGATATTTTTCGCGATCCTTTGCCGGTTCGCTGTCGGTGCCGATTAATTTTGCAGTGTGATTTCTCGAGATGGCACAGAACAAATTCAACGAGATGGCCTCGCGCTTTGGCAAGGGCACAAACGGGGTGCCGATGAGTATCAAGGTCCTCGCTGCTGCTGGTGTCGCAGCTTATAGCGTTTCTAAATCCATGTACACAGGTTAACTTCAGTTCCACTTAAATTTTCTTTTTCCAAATTTTGCGATAATTACGCGTTATTCTCTTCAAATATTATTGTTTGTCTTGAACGAACGATGATTTTAAATGTCAATTTTGAATTTAATTAACTCGATTGCAGTTGAAGCTGGTCATAGAGCGATCATGTTTTCTCGATTGGGTGGTATTCAAAAGGATATCATGACTGAGGGTCTGCACTTCCGTATTCCGTGGTTTCACTATCCGATAATTTATGACATTAGGAGCAGACCTAGAAAAATTTCGTCACCAACAGGATCCAAGGATTTGCAGATGGTCAATATTTCTCTACGTGTTCTCTCTCGTCCTGATGCTAGCACGTTGCCAGCTATGTATCGACAACTAGGCCTTGATTATGATGAAAAGGTCAGAATAGAGTTATATAATGATATAAAACAAGTTACAGATTTATTTTAATTTACAAAGATATATTGTATCTATCTTAAACTTAATCTTTGTCTGATTTTGACTTATGAAAATAATATGAAATTATAGATTTTAAATTACGTTAAGATTAATTAGCAAAGATCAATCCAGGTATTGCCAAGCATCTGTAATGAAGTGCTAAAGTCTGTTGTCGCTAAATTTAATGCGTCACAATTGATAACACAAAGACAACAAGTATCTAATATGGTGCGCAAAGAATTGACAGAACGAGCTCGAGATTTTAACATTGTTCTGGACGATGTCTCGATAACCGAGCTTAGTTTTGGCAAAGAATACACTGCTGCAGTCGAGGCCAAACAAGTAGCGCAGCAAGAGGCCCAACGAGCTGCTTTTGTAGTAGAAAGAGCTAAACAGGAACGACAACAAAAAATTGTACAAGCTGAGGGAGAAGCAGAAGCAGCCAAAATGATATCCTTTACAAAAACAATTTCTTCTGCTAATTTATAATCAATTGTGTTTTTTTTTCCTATTAATTGATGTAAGTTGAGGGAGGGAAGAGGAATGATTTTATAATCATAAATTGAAAGATATAGTTTAAATTGTCTTTTTCTTTCTTTTTTCATGATTCTTATAGTAAGCGATTAAAACTTTCAATTATACTATTGATTCAAACACAATTAAATTAATAATTTGTAACTAATCAGTATATTATACAATGCAGAATTTTCTTCAAAAGCTTTAATATATATTTTCCTTAATGCAGTGTACCTTGGTTTAGCTGTTGGCCAGAATCCTGGGTATTTGAAGTTGCGTAAAATACGAGCTGCACAAAATATTTCACGCACAGTGAGTATCTTTGTGATATTGCAAATTTGCAATAAAAAATTACTAAGATTTTAAAACATGTGAAAAAGTTGTCTTGATATAAAAATCGATGTTTAACATATATATAAAATTTGTGTGTGTGAATTGCTAAAGAGGGATTTATTTTATTTCAGATTGCTAATTCCCAAAACAGAGTGTTCCTCAGTGGCAATAGCTTGATGTTGAATATTCAAGATCCCGCTTTTGATGAGGGTTCAGACAAGCTGAAAAGTAAGAAGTAAAAATCATCAAAACCGCGCGTCATTCTTTTTTATTTCTTTTTTTTCGAGTTTCTTAAATTTTTATTAAACCTGAAAAATGATTAGCTGTTATGTACAATTATATTGTGAATAAGAGATCGTCGTGTGTTTCCCGAAAACTCACGGATTATACATTATATATGTTTTCATTACATTGTGCTCTCCTCCTCGTCGTCCTTGTAATCATGCTCGCTCGCAGATATCTGCTCGTTTTATTATTGTATGTTCTAAACCAATTCCATATATGAGATAAAACACACCAAATTATTCCTCATTCAAGAAAATGACCATTTTAAAACAAGTTCAATGATCTATAATATTGAATCATTAAAAGTTCAACATATAATATAAAAAGAAAGAAATATTGTCAATTCGTAGATTTTCGAGGAGATTTTGACAATCTTTCATAAAATCCTGTATGAAAACATTATTTAATAGAGACTTCTATATTACAATAAATGTAATGAAATATTGATATGCAAAAAGAAATTTCCCCAAGTAGAATAAATTAGGGAGATTATAACATCATACTTCAGGAGTTATTTAATAATTTGTAATGGGCATTCTTCAATCTTGACGCGCATAAATTATACATAGATAGTTGCTTACGCGTAGACGCCCAATACTGGCTTTTTCAGGTCACAAAGGAGTGAGCTGGAAGAGCTGGGATGAGGCCACCGATTGTGCCATCCAGAGTCTAAATACCAGTTCCCATCAGGCATTACTAAATACCGGAAAGCTTGGCATTGAGGCTCAACCACATAGGACACATGTCCCCTCGTCTATCCTACTGGAATCAGCAAATGATGGTGTTAAGCTTATAACACCGTGACAATAAGAGAGATTTTGCGATGCGAGCATATTTCCACCCAACACAAACTCTCCTTGCCTCCTGTCGAAGAATGTTTTCCTATTGTCTATGTTTGATTAATTGATGATGTTAAATAGATAAATTCTATAATCACAATATCTTTCATTAAATCTGTTTGTTTTTATTGCACTTTTCTGTATTTTGTTATATTTAAAATGAGATTTATATTAAAGTAAAAAAAATTAAGAACAAGATATAGAAACTGAAACAAATAGATCAATCATTACAAGAAATAAGTAATAATAGTACTAATGTAAGAGAAATAGACTTCAAAATATTAATATATGTGTATTAATAATGATAGTAGATGATAGTTATTGAGTGTGAAAAACTGATATTTGAATTTCAAATTCTTAGATAGAATTATGTTAAGTTTTGTATTATATTCGATTTTAATAACGAAAAAGAATGAATTAAATTTTGAAATGTAAGAGATTTCGATATAAAAATGCGTGAAATTAGATGTTGAGGTTAGAATAAGAAAGATCAAGGAAATCGTATAAAAACGAAATAGAAATACGTAGAAAACGACAGAATGAGAAAGCGAGCGATAGATAGAAAAAAGTGAGAAAATATAGCACGAAAGATAATAAATAATAAAAAAACAGAGCGAAGAAAATATTGGTTCGAATGTCATCGACAGTATATGTTTAGGTTAGATCAGATATGTTAGGTGCTGTGCCACACTGTGGCAGCCACAGAGTCCACAAGTGACATCAGCTGGTACAAACTGTAGTAGCCGAATAATCTACAATTTTTAATTGTGGAAAAATAATTATTGTAAATAATTTATTGAAGAAGCAAAGTACGTATATACCATATTATTTTATTTATTTTCTCAATATTTTCACTAAGTATTTCAAATTCATTTTATTCACAATTGTCGTATTTTAACCTCTAAGTAATGATCTATGTAAAAAAAATTTTAGAAACCTGGTATATATTAAAAAGAATAAATATATATACTTATATATTTAAAAAATTTAATTATTTATATATTATACAATGTAGAAATTATTCATGTTTGTTGTTTAATATAATTTATCTTGTTCTTATTATTAGGATTATCATAGTACAATTTCATATATACTTTTATTATATTCGTATTATTATAATTTTTGATTCAATCAGTTAATTTAATATTTTATTATATAATAAATTTAATGTTAATAACAAGTAACCATGCTTATTTTAACATTCTATCCATTCTCATATTTTGACAAAATTATATCATTTTTTGTGCAATTTTTTACCAGTTGTTTGTTAACATATGTTAGTGTGCGATATAATTTAAAAATATAAATACTAATATTACTATAATATTATTATAGTATTTATATCTTTAATTTTATTAAACCTGCAATTCTTGCAATTGTTGAAATATTTTAAACAGTAACTGATAAGGTGATGTAATCTATATATTGCTCATATTCTATTCTATTGCATCATCTTTTCACAGATGGTTGGAGATAAATCGGTAGAATGTCCTCCGACAAGGTAAAGATTAAATCTTATTATAATCACTTGCTAATCGATGTATTTATATATTTAATACATCTTATACGTTTATATGTTTTGAACATCCATAAATTGGTTAGAAACAAATTTCTTTTGATAATTTCAAAATTATAAACTACATTGAATATTTTATTATATACATTTTATATACAAAATGATATATAATGAAGATAAAACCTATATTTACACATATTATGGACATTCTTATAATTATACAATCAGTCAGCACCAATGTTACCAATATTTTGAAAAATATTTACTAGAACTTTTGTGTTATTCCATTATGAAGTAACGAGATATCTAAGAAAGCCTTGAAAAAGCAGCAAAAAGAGATGCAGAAAGCAGCAAAAAAGGCAGAAAGAAAAGATCAAATTGTAAGTTACTATGTATATAACAGTGATATTACTCTTTAATAACGAGAACAAACTTTTCTTTTTTTTACTAATTAAACAGATATAATAAATTTAATTCGAAAAACTGATAAAATAGATAAATAAACATTGCGTTGTGTACTACATTTTCCAGCAGTCCCAGCAAGAATCTACAGAAGAAGCTGAAGATGTGTCTGTGGGAAAATATAGTCAGATGAATATGATTCAAAGTAAGGAAAAGTTTGAAGATAGAAAGTTTACAGCAATCAAGAATCTGAATAAAAATCTGGAGAATGAAATAGTTTGGTTGAGAGGTCGTTTACATACTAGTCGTGCTAAAGGTGAACAATGTTTTGATGGAAAATATATTAATTATTTAATTATATGCAAATAAAACTTTTATATTACGTTTATTATACAGGGAAGCAATGCTTCATTGTATTGAGACAGCAATCATATACAGTGCAGGGATTAGCTGCTGTGAACGAAAAAATCAGCAAACAAATGATTAAATTTATTTCCAAGTATAGATTCTGAATACTTTTATGAAATTAATTGGAATTTAAGTACTATATATTGTGTATAATTAAAATGGTATTTCTATTTCAGCATCACAAAAGAGTCTATAATCGATGTTAAGGCCATAGTAAAATCTGTACCGTCGAAAATCGAGTCATGCTCACAAGCAGATGTAGAAGTTCACATAGAAGAAGTGTTTGTGATAAGTGCTGCCAAGCCACAGCTTCCTTTACAGATAGAAGACGCCGCGAGACCTATTAGCGAAGCAGATGAAACTGCATTGAATATTAGAGTGAATCAAGATACCAGACTGGATAACAGAGTGCTAGATTTGCGTACTCCAGCTAATCAGGCGATTTTCAGGGTGGAAGCTGGCGTTTGTAAACTCTTTAGAGACATTCTGACGAAAAAAGTGAGTATAATGATGCTCAATTTCATTAAAACATTTTGTTTTAATTTATCCTTTTCAGGGCTTTATCGAGATACACACTCCTAAAATCATTTCTGCAGCCAGCGAGGGTGGGGCAAACGTGTTTACAGTGTCTTACTTTAAAAATAATGCTTATCTAGCTCAATCGCCACAATTATACAAGCAGATGGCTATTGCTGCTGATTTTGACAAAGTTTTTACTGTTGGAGCAGGTATATTGCATCGAATAGAAATAAGAACTTAAAATCGTTGGTAATTGCTAACAATGTCTGGATTAGTTTTCAGAGCGGAAGATTCCAATACGCACAGACATTTGACAGAATTTGTAGGCCTTGATCTGGAAATGGCCTTTAAATATCACTACCACGAAGTGGTAGACACTATAGGACAAATGTTCACTGAGCTCTTTAAAGGTTTACGTGAGATGTCAGTAATCTATATTTATGCCTATTAGTCTTTTATTTTTCATATGTATATAAAAATAGTTCTGACTAATTCATTAATTTCATGGGAATTCTATAGGTATGCAGATGATATAGCAGCAGTCAGTCAACAGTACCCCGTGGAACCTTTTAAATTTCTTGAACCAGCTTTGAAATTAGAGTATCCAGAAGCGATTGAATTGTTAGCGGAAGCGGGCGTAACTCTTGGCGAAGAGGATGATCTGTCGACACCAGACGAAAAACTCTTAGGAAAACTCGTTAAAATTAAAGTAAGATGTTGAAAAATTTCAAACTACCAGAGCTCGATACAGCTAAAACAATAAATCTTCAACTGAACATTACGATTAATTTATTGATTGTTTTTATAATTTATATGTCTAGAAATACAATATTATTAACTTGAATTTGACAATTTTTTAAATATGACAATTTTTATGCATATTTTACTGTTAATATCATAAATATATATATTTTTTTTTTCAGTATGACACGGACTTTTACATTTTGGACAAGTATCCTCTTGCTGTGAGACCTTTTTATACGATGCCAGATCCAAACAATCCTGTAAAGTATTTTATGATTATGTATTATCATGTGCAATATTCTCTTTTCTTTTATAATTATTGATCTTATGTTATAGAAAGCGTCCAACTCGTATGACATGTTTATGCGAGGCGAGGAGATTATATCTGGCGCGCAACGTATCCACGATCCAGATTTTCTGACCGAACGAGCTAAACATCATGAAATCGGTGAGTAAAACATTTGCATAAGGATTTTTTATTAATGCTGTGAGCATTACTTAAATACATCTGAATTAAATTGAAACATTTCTATAAATGTGCCACTTAAATGCGGAATGTCCCATCATGCATACTTCGTTATTCTTTAATCAGAAATTATTCGATTAATAATAAAATTCTTCGTTTCAGATATCGAGAAAATCAAGTCATATATCGACGCCTTCAGATATGGTTGTCCGCCGCATGCTGGCGGCGGTATAGGCATGGAACGCGTTGTAATGTTGTATCTCGGCTTGGACAACATACGTAAAGTATCTATGTTCCCGCGTGACCCTAAACGACTCACTCCTTGAAATTAATTGCAATATTTCGACTGATATTGTTATATATTCGAAAATAGAATCTTTTACCTTGAATACATGTATTTTATAAATGACACTTAATATGCCTCTTTATTTTCTTTTGTACGTATTGTATATATCATATAGATACATTAAAATTTATTTATTTTTTTGATTACATTATTAAAAAAGCTTAATCAATCATGATAAAATAAAAAGAATTGAAGAATGGAAGAGAGACGTGTTTAAAAATCTTACTCTTGAAATAGTATTTCATTAACCAATCAGCACAAATCTATACTCTTTTCTGATTGGTCAATCAAACGTTACTATACGAGTAGAATTTTCGAACGCACCGCATTGTGGAGAAGAAGCGATAACACCGCCAAGTGCCTATATAACCTCCATAAAAATAAAATTATAATATACATTTAAAAACAAGTATAATATATAATAAAAAAAATAACAGTTAAAAATGGTGAGTACATATAACATATATATATTTTATATGTTTCATTAAATAATTATATACCACTTATGCTTTATTTAATATACAAATTTTATTTTTTCAGGCACGAAATGCAGAGAAGGCTATGTAAGTATATCTTTACAGGTTTAATCTAACTGATTGATAATATTTCTCTGTGAATCATAATTATTTAATATTAGTAATCGATATCAATCGTATTCTTTAGGACAACACTTGCTCGTTGGAGAGCAGCGCAAAACAATGAAGGAGCAAAGAAAGAACAGGAGCGAAGGCCATATCTAGCTTCAGAATGTAGAGACTTACGCAAGGCGGAAAAATGGAGAATGCAAATAATTCGGGAAATTGCAAAAAAAGTTGCACAAATTCAAAATGCTGGCCTTGGTGAATTTCGCATTCGTGATTTAAACGATGAGATCAATAAATTACTTAGAGAAAAGCGGCATTGGGAAGCACAAATAAAAGAGCTCGGTGGACCTGATTATTCTAGAGTAGGACCTCGCATGTTAGATCATGAAGGACGTGAGGTAAAATTATAGATATTACTTTCACAATATCAGAAACAATGTCAAGGAATTATTAAATATTTATGTTAATATTATAAGAAGTACGATTGAATCAATTTATATCTTTAGGATATTTTTTTTGGATAAATTACACATGTTTGTCATATATATGTATATATTACATATAGAATAAAATATAACAATATGGCTTGATTAAATAACAGGTTCCTGGTAATCGAGGTTATAAATATTTTGGAGCTGCTAAAGAACTACCAGGTGTTAGGGAATTATTTGAACAAGAACCACCACCACCCCCTCGGAAAACTCGTGCGGAATTGATGAAAGATATTGATGCGGATTATTATGGTTATATGGATGACGATGATGGTATTCTAGTACCATTGGAAATAAAAGCAGAACAAGAAGCGAGAGAAAAATATATCAAAGAATGGATATCCCGTGAGAAGGAACCAGAAGCTAATATTGAAACAACGGCGCAGAAACCAATTCCTTCTCAGCAAGATATTCAAGGAGCTCTATTGGTTAGAAAAAAGAAAGAGTTACTGGAAAGGTATGGGCTGGACTGTTGAAGTTTTATCTAAAATATGTTGTGAAAAGAGTTCCAATTGCGATAATAACTATTTGTAAGTTTATTGATTTAATTATATAGAATACATTTTTATAAAACGCGATGGAGATGTAATAATTATTGTTAATTTATAAGTACGTGTAATAACATTGATTAGGATAATTAGTTTGTGCAGTAGACATTCAAACTTGAATTAATGTTTATCGAGAAACGGGTGCTGTAGATAAAATATAGATCAAAATCCAACGTTATAGTCTGTTTATAATCTTCGCGATCTGGTATCTTTCTCATCATCTTATCTCATATTTCATGATTTTGAAAATTTGACAAAATATGATGATTCAAATGACATAGCAATTATCAGGTAATCGTTATTTCCTAATCTAAAAATCCTCGTACGCTCTTATTCTCACAAATGTATCTCTGGAAAGTAACAAAGCAATCCACATGTTGGAGTTTGAGATCTCTCGGCTTTTTATCGTCTTGATACAAGCGTCTATCAATGAAAAATAAGAATGTTAAATGTACGAAACATTACTTTTTTCTAAAAAGGAAAAGTTGTGAAAATTTCATCACGTTTTCTAAAAATCTCCAGCTAGAGATTGTATAATCCCAGTGCAGTGTTCTAAAATAAAACGTAATATGGTGGTCCGGTCACTCCCTACACAAATCCAATATCGACTTATCATGCAAAACACTAGAAAACGCTGTTGTAAGATTAATGTTATCACAATTACATTACATTAAATTCAAAGAGTTAAAAGGCCTAAAAGTTACCCTGAAAAACTACCTGCTAATTCAACATATATTACTCACATAATATGACTGGAAATCTTGGAATTTTCTCAAGTCTAGTTTGTGTCTTGTGTAAAACAAATGTTCAGTAATAATCTTATAATCGAGAGATATTAATACTATATCGCGTTAGTTAATTTACATATTTAAACATTTCTCTCCTCTCTTCAGCATCGTGCTGTTTATAAACAGACTGTGCATTAAGATGTACGATAATATCGCTAGGACCCAGAAGTACAATAATAATATCACTTAATACACATAATGCAGCTACAAAAACAAATGCAAATCTTATCACATTTATATCCTAAATGTGTTTTCGAATCTGTTTTAACCAATTTTATTAACTCACAGCTAATTTTCACATCCTGTAAATAAATAATATTAAGTATAATATTGAACAATTATAAGAATATATAAATATTTCTTATAATATTCTCATTCTCTTTATAACATATATCTAATTATGATCAAAATCGAAAGTGTAAAAACGTTTACATGTCTTTTTGGAAGGAAAAAAAAATTCAGTTTAAATTGCAAAAAGGATTTAGAAATGAAAAATAATTCACTGAATCTCTCTCTCTCTCTAGGACTTTGTATGCTTAGGATGTTCTAAACTCTCATTTGCAGTAATTATTCGCAACATGTATAAATACATATATATATACAAAAATCACTCTGCACGATAAGAAAATTCTCTTCATGCCCTAAAAAAGACTTCTGAGCCCCGGCCATGTTTTACTGCTAAAACGTAAATGAGACAGAATAGTTCGAGCATGGATTAATAACTATGATAAAAATTTACCACTAGAGGCTTGAAAAAATCAAGCGTTAAATGATTCACAGCATCTGTTTGTCCGTTGTAATCAGTGGCTGGTTTTACCTGCTGATCTGGGGGTTCCCTAACGATTGTTTGGTCTAAACTCATTTTCCGCATTATCATCAATGTGTATATGTATGTATACGAGTATGTTTGTATGTACATTTATTAATAATAATCTTAAATCATATTATCTAAGAATCGTGCTATCAGATAATAAAAAAAATCATTAATTATCAAAGTATTCAATGTCGAAGATTATAAATATGTGTATAAAAACAAAGGTCAATCAAATTTGCTAAAAAGTTCTACTTCAAATTTGTTAAAGAATCCATAGACGTAAAATTAATTTTATAAAGAGAATAATTTTTGTATATATCTCTCTTTATATCAAATTAATTTCATAATATCTAATATGAAAAATCCATCTTCAAATCATATCTTCTCTACTCTTTTCTGTGTGTTCTCTAATATAATTTTAATATGATGAGGAAACCCCCTTGCTCAAAAATTCTAATAATAATGCATAGATTATACCACATATCTACAACCTAACGTGTATGCATGATCTCTTGTTTATGTTTCTATTTCATTTATATTATAGCGACTCTACAAACACATCTGTGTTTACAAGTGCGTTTTGCGAGTCATTGTGCGTCGTTAAATTGTGGGTTTGCTTGTCCCGCCTTTTTATTCCATTTCGATTCGAAGTCTCGCTAAATCATCGCCACGCCGGCGCCAATTGTCCGCGCGTGTATCAATCCATTCTCGAACCATCTTGAGAGATGCCCGTGTTCTTAATCTCATCTTATCGCTATAATCTGCCGCTCTAATCCGTCTGCTAATTTTAATATTTTTTTCTTTTTTTCCAGGCATACCTGAACGAAACGTAAAATAACGTTTTAGAGTTAAAAGATTGGTCAATTAAATTAACTTGGTGATTAATAAAAAATCGCGTTAAAGAAACATAATTGCATATAAGTACAGTTTACAAACGACAGATGAAACGTCTAGCATAAATTTTGGGAGACAATGTCGATTAATATTGAGTATCTCGATGATCTCGAAATTTAATTTAATATTATTGTTAATTATATTATTAATTTATTACGCAGCAATATAAATCGTTAGTTTTTAGTAACAATATCTTTTTTACGGATTAGCTTGTCCTATTTTTGTGACAAATCTTGGCACTAGACATTGATCTTGCATCATTCCCTTTAGAGTTAAATATATATTCACTTAGAGCGTCGACGCGTTTCATTCAGGTATGTTTAAGTTGCGGTAGTAAGACTGAGTATCATATTATCGATATTAGGTAGAAATCTAATAATTAACAATGTTAAATGCACGGCGAGAACACGGGCTCAGTATTTGTCATATCGATTTATATGAACAAACACAAGCAAATCGAATATCCGTCGAATGTATGTACATACATACAATTACATATCGTAAGACAGGTAATATCGACACACTGATGATACAGTAATACAGCGATAATTTATGATTTTGACAAACAACAACGATATTACTGAAATATATGTGGTATAATGCTATAATGAGCAACATATTCATTGAGTATCACAGAAAGAATATAAACCGAAAGAGAGAAAATGTATTTTTTGGCAAAGCAAAAATTACTTTTTCTTCTGGCGGTATTTTAAATCTGAATGTGTGAAGATTTATATATATAAAAAAAGTAATTAATATTTCTTGGAATTTCACGTTTTATGATGTGATAATTTTAGTTTATTTTGAGAACTATTTTAACTGAAGCTTACAAGAGAGAAAGAGAGAGAGAGACTTGATATTTTTTAATTTAAAAATTAAAATATCATGAATAAACAAGTTCTAAGAAAAGAATGGTACAATTCATCAAAAGCTTATTATCGATATTAATTTACTAGAATATTTGCTTGAATAGCTTAGCAGCTATATTGCTTGGGAAAAAAAAGCAAGAAATCTTAGATGTGCTTCAATAATTTCGTTACTCTATAGAAACAATAGACATGACTGTATAATAATAATTCATTGTGTCGATGTTATCCAATTTCAGGGTGGACACACAAATCATTCGTTTCTATAAATTCATCAAATCCCTAAATTCTCAAATTTACCAAATTAGAAATTTTCAAGAATGAAATACTAATTTTATCAAATCTCTAAGGATTTGTGTAACTTTTTTTAGACTCTGTTGCCAGTTTTTAACATATTATAGTATTTTATAAAATTACAGAAGCTTTTTTTACTTCTTTTGGAATAGTTTAACAATATTAAGGAAATCTCGATTTTTCTAAAATATTTCTCAAAATCTACGAGAGTTTTCCTCGCTTTTGAAATATTTCCAAACTTGTTAGAGAGTTCCGAGTTTTTTTTTCTGTTGCATGACCACCCTGTATCTTACAATACTATAAAGTCAAAGAGATGTATGTAACTAACTCGTGTATTTTCCAAATGATGCCGCTTGGCCGCTCAAATTTCGCTTACACTTTACGACGATTCTCCATTTAGCGTGGCACGCGGCCTAAAGAGGGTGAAAGGCACAAAGTAAAAAATAAACGATCCAGATTGGCTCAGGCACATGTCGAGTACCACGTGACAGGACAGGCACGATGAGAGGGCCGGGTATCGATAACATCACATGATCATCCGGGATCCTCGACATCGAAGATAAATCGCACTGTTCCCATCAGCGTATCAAAAAGGAAATGTACTTGGTACATTTAGACAAGAGTTTGTAACTCAGAGTTTACAGTATTCCAAACAGCATCCCGAACAAAACAAAAGCCCAAACAACTTTTAAAAAATGTCTAAAATTTTAGTGACAATTAAAGCATCTTTCATGCGTGTTATTTAAGACGCCATTTAGATATTTGTATATTTTTGTCTAACAGATGTCTAAAGAATAGTACGACATTTTTTGGTCTTTATGTCGCCATTTGTGATTTTTATTTAACAGACATACAACATTGGAACATCTTTACGATGTTATTTGGACAGTTGCGTTGTTTGGGCTCTGACTTATGATTGACAGACCGAGTGGAATATTGACTTCCGTTAATCAACCAGGCAGTACACAGTGTGTGTCTCCGCGAGATAAGAAAAAAGAGCCGAAATCTCTTTCGAGATAAGCCACGAGCAGTTATTCTTCCTCAGAAATGCGCATCTATTTCCCATACTCTTCGCGGCAAGTACCGGCGAAATCGGTTTCGCGCTCGAATGGCTGCGTCGAGAATAAATCCAAAAGGAGGCATTCACTCGAGAATACCTCAAGGACGCAATAGCGAGTGCCAACGTTGTACTTGCGTCGGTTGCCTCGCCGTCCGCATGTCATTCCAATGCTGTAGCTCCTCGGAACCGGAGCTGTTCAGACCCATAGAAAGCCAGCCAATCATCTCTCGTCCTTTTCAGCGTTACGTCCCCCAATTGAAACAACGCGACCTTCGCACAAAAAAATTTCGTATATCATATTTTAACGGTATAATCGGATTTTAAATGTCCGGAAACTTTTTAAAAATCAGGGAATTTTCATAAAGTTACCTGAAATATAAAAGTTTCCTTGTAGAGGGGATTCGGCTGGGCGCGTTTTAGACCAGTCTTCGACCTGCCCATTTCGTGGTTGTTGCTGTCAACAAGGGCCAATTTTACGTAGGTATCGGGTGGTTTCGTGTCATTTCCACCTCCGCCGCGGAAATGGGAGCCTTTAATTATCTCTACCGATAAGCGGCCCGTCGTGCCATTGTATGCCAGACCGATTAGAATTTCGGCGACGCTGCCGCCTTTCATACTGCTACCGTAAGGCGGTATAGCTGTAGAGGCATATGACTGAACCGATTGCTGGGATCCCGTAGAATCGCTACGAGTTAGACTGCTGGTAGTTCCCCAATCTTGCGCCTAAAAATATAACAATGAATTCTTTATTCGATCTCGAATCGATGTCTCTTTATTAGATTACATATAATATAATATTATGTATACAAAAATTAAGAAATTAATTCCCGTAAAATTTACTAAACAAAAGACATGTCAACTATACTTCTGGCGTAAATTAGATCTATATTACGAATTGAAATTATAAGGATACTTTAGAATGACTTACCGAAGAAGAAAGCGGCGGTTGAAGAGTCAACCAGAGGGTCGTTTCCAGTTGAAGATTAATCTGATCAAAGGATACCCTGGCTTCGCCCAACAATCTCTCCCGACGCATCATTCTGCCACCCCAGAGATATACCCTTAGCCGTACTCCCATTGCGTTTACATCCTCCGGATTTACGCGAGGAAGTAAAAAGCTCTCCATGTATTGCGGCGATGTCCCTTGCCGAACTCGAGTCTTGCGTCTTTGCTTCTTTGATGGCAGCAAGACTAATCGTACCTGGCTGCCGCCAATGCCGGGGGGATAATTTCGTCCTTGTAACACGTGAACCTAGTAAAATAATATATCTCAATTGTCGCACAATATTTATTATGTGATAAGAGAGAATTTCAAGCATTTATATAAAACAAAAAAATTACTATAGAATAACATTTTTATTCATGTTCAAGTTTTTAAATGAATATATAAAAACAAATTATAAATATATAAATAAATTATAT